AATTGCGACTTGTGAATGTGTATGGCTACGAGTTCTACTTGAGGAGCTTGGTCTTAGTATGCATAGCTATCCTGTTCCATTGTAGTCTGATAATATTAGTAGTATTCACCTAGCAAATAATCCAGTCTTTCATGCTAGGAAAAAGCACATTGAGGTGCATTATCACTTCATCAAGGAGAAGTTACTAGATGGAAGCATAGATCTTCTATATGTTTCTACTTCAGATCAGTCAGCAGATATCTTTACTAAGGCACTACCTAGGGATAAGTTTGAGCAGTTTCGATTTGAGTTAGGAGTGCAAGATATAGACTTGAGCTTGAGGGGGAGTGTTAATATATCTCCAAGCTCTTAGCTAAGGTTAGGTAACTCTTGTTAGGACAAAACTAGAGTAAGTGCAGATGCATGCACTATGGTAGGTGAGTAGGTGGCAACAGATGCATGCACCTACTAATCAGGATAAGATGTAACCAAGGTTAAAGCTTGTGACCATGGTTAAGTTACTTGTACCAATCCAATTTTTTGAGTATAAGTAAAGAGGAGAAGCCAAGGCTCTTTTATTCTCTCCTATCTACTTGAGTGGATGTCTCTCTCTCTTGATGTGAGTGCTCTCACGACTGTAACAGTCTATATAACTCTACATACCTTGTAGGCTAAGCTATTTGGAAGTTTACTAAACATAATGTTGAAGAACTTTGAACATAGTAGAAGCACAATCGAGGTTCTCGATTGCTGATATGATTTTTATTCCGGCTCAACTGTTAAGCATGTGAGCTCATGCACAACTCTAGTTCCAGAGTCTGGTGTTCTTTACGCCTAAAACATGAAACTGAAATCGAATTTCGTCCGTGCTACGAGCATTCTTGCTTGTTTTTCGCGACATATAGAAGTTGACAGAACCAGAATGATACTTGCTGAGCTCAACGTTAAACCTCTCAAGAAGTTACATTATTCGAAGCTACTTGCAAATTAAGAGAAACTGTGCTGTATACATGAATTCAGAAATAATTCTGATGCTAAATGCAAGATAACAGTGATATGTGTCTTCAGATGAAGATCTGGTGTAATCGTACATGTAAAGTCAAGTAATTGATATATCTACTGAAATGAAACAAGTCATACTGCCACTTTTGCACTCGTGGGCTCATATCATAAATCGAAACGTCATATGAAAGAAATAAAACGCATTCCTCATTTGATAAAGTCGTTGAAACCTAAACATTTTATTTCATCTCTTTGTCTCTCTTTTTTCTGTTTGAAGCATATTCAGATATAATTTTGCTGCAAAATTTTAAAATGTGATTAATATACCTTTCTACTGGATGCGTAGTCTAATTTGCATATTTCTTTGATGATACTTCCCATCTCAAAATGTTTAACTCATAAACAAGATCTAAAAAATTCTTTCAAACAAGACATCATCGTATTTTATTGTTCTTACGATACTTTATCTGCTTTAGAGATTTTGATTGTACAACTGTTTTAGCTTTTACAGTTGTTTTGAGTATTTGGCGCTTTGACTCTTAATAGCTTTTAAAGAGATACATCATGAAAATTGATGCATCAAACATGTACTTGAAGAGTACAACTCTATTTATGAGATAAAATAATAGATATTTACAAATTTGTTACTTAAATTAGAAGAACAAGGTGATCAAAGTGTCATTAGTGATTTTTAGAAATGTATATCAACAAACCCACACACATCAAAACTCTTGATGTATTTTTTATCCAAGTTGAAACAACTCTGAAAAGATGAAATATTAATGGAAAATCTATTTTATATATACTTATCAAAATATAATATAGATTTTATAATCATATCAACATACATTCTACAAATGAAACTATGCATATAAGTTTTATCATAAAGTGTAAATCATGGAGTTACTATATATCAAAGATATACGCATATTGATTTAAACATGATGTTAGTTGATCAATTTTATCATAGTGTGAAAAAGAAAATTTAGTCTTTCAAATTTAGGACTTTCAATTGTTTGAATTAAATTAGAACACAAAAACATGGACTGACATTTTTTCCAAATTTATCTAGGTAACACTTGTACTGAAAAATTTGTTCAACAAAATTGTGTAGCAATTAATTATATTAAATTTATGTCTATTTCAAATAAATTATAAAAATTTATTCACAAACACAATCAATACAAGAATTAAAAATCACATGCACAATCAACACCGGACATATATGATTCATCATCACGGATCTTGTACATGAAAATTTTAAAAAATTAATTATAATGAGATAAATCAAAATATTGAGAGCTTTTTCATACTTAGACTCTCATTAACTTCACTATAGGATAAAGAAATTTGAATTTATTTTTTTTCTATTATAATCTCCATCTTAATTTATATATTAGATATTATTATCTTCATATTCTATATAATTATAAGTCATTAGCAAATCTAAACTAGAAGTAATTGAATTCAAGTTGTAGTAATTTAATATTGAGTAAAACCATGTGTAGAGTTAACAAGGTTGCTTGTAAATTTTATTTATGCTTTTCATGCAAATCTTGCAAAGTAGCAAAAAACAAGTAATCTTTTAAAACTTAAAGGAAAAATTTTGATTATTCCTTTAGACAGATTGAGATTTTGTCAATTTTAATTGATCTTAATTAAATTAAGTTTTTTAATCAACAATTGCATCTTTGATAAAGTGATATTAGATGTCAATGTGCTTCATTTTGTTGTTTATTATTTAATATCTAGCAGAATTTTTATTCACTCAAACCATCATAATGAAGATTGACAATATCATGTTTTAATTTCATACAATCTAAGTACAAAATTCATATCAATTACTAGAATTTTTTTGCTGATTTAGCTACCGTTACATATTCAGATCTCAATGTTGACTAAGCAATTTTGCAAAAATGCCTTCAACAATAAATGTAAACACATTTGTTATTCTAGATTTTTTTTTGTCTAGATCTTGACTATATTTTGCATCAAAGTGTTAGGATTTAACTCAGATCTTATAGTAACTTAGATTAGCTTAACTCAAATTACTCAAATTAGCTATATGTACTGTAGTGGTAGAAGAAACCCTAACAAACTAAAATAAACCCGAACCCTAACTTGGGTTAAGTTAACTAGAGTGTATTTCAAACTTGAGTTGAAACTGACAAAAAATTTACAAGGTAACAAGTATCCTTCTGTGTGTTTGATATGTGTCTTTCACGGAATATCTTCCAAACTACCAAAACTCTCGAGATACAGCCTTAAGCATGGACAGTGAAAGGTTCAGATTATTCTTTCCCGACTGGAAGAGTGTGTGAAAGATAGTGTGTGATTAGTATTCCTGGGGTAGAAACATGTTTGCTTGATGTGATTCACTGATTTACGTGTTACATAATTTATGAGCAAGACAGTTCTAAGTTCCTCCAGATATGTACTTGTGGACAAATAACACTTTGCTGGCTTTGTACCTAGATCTGCAGTTGAGCATGTAAGTCTCTTTCTCCTTAGCTTTGCTCTCATTGCTACAATGCTTATATTACACTTCAATAAAACACAAAGAAGCATTCAACAGGCATGTCATACGTCAGTTGTCATGTCACACGTCACATGTCAAGGACGTAGACAGCTCATTAAGCCAAGGCAGACCAAAGTAGACTTAAGGAATTTATGGAGCGGAGAAGTTTCATTGTCATAAGTACCTTTCATAGCAGAATCTTGGCACTGAATTATTTTTTCAAACTTGTGCAACTTCAAGCATCCTATCATCAGCATTTCGGAAAAAAGTCGTCGATAACGAAGGCCTTTCAAATGCATCAAAGCAAGCAACACCAGAACAGCCTTGATGCAAAGAAAGCATCACACGCAGAAGCACTGAAGCAGTGGTAAAAAAATTCGTCAATAACGAAGACCTTTCAAATGCATCAAAGCAAGCAACACCAGAACAGCCTTGATGCAAAGAAAGCATCACACACAGTAGCACTAAAGCAGAGGCACATTATGTATCATGAACAGATGTAAAAATTCTTCACGTTTCTTATGACAAACCAATTTGCATTTGCTACGGGATGGAGGTGTTATTTTCTTCGAAATCGAACTCGAACTCGAAGTTTGTAGGAGGGATCATTACGGAATTGAATTGGGGCATGTTCTGTCCACAGTAAACCATAACACAGCACAAATCACATACTCTTACAGCGTCTTGATAGTCTCTTCTGCTGAGGGTCTGAAACCAAGGGGAAATTTGCATAATAGTCTACTATGATTGCAGCTCTAGATCTTGCTAGCGATTCTTGCTGCTGATCGTTTTCTTAGGGCTAGAGGCTAGAGGCATTATCATTATTAGTATACATTTGATTCGTTTGTTAATGCTCCAACTGAGATTTCTAAAAGTACGAGGATTGATGGGTGAATTTTGATGCACCGTTAGTCAATTCTCAACATTTATCTATATTTCATGAGCATGCCATCTCGGAATTTCTAGATTTCAACTGTTGAATAACAAGTTAGCAGAAATAAGAATCAAGAGTTTGAAAACATTCCCGGCACACTAGTTGAACTTCGTATTGGTCCCTGATATTCTTTTTCTCGGAAACCGAAATTGCCTCGTGCTATTTCGTCTGCAAACTAAATAGATGAAATTATCATCAGGTATGATTTGCACTGCATTGCGATAGCTTCTTTCCATTATTACTCTGAAGAATGAAAAGCGGAAGAAGAATCACTGGTTTTTTCTAAAAGGTTCCATAACCAGAGCAATCCATCGTTTGGATTGCACTGCGGTGTGGCCGAAAATGCCTAACAGAAAACAGTATTGTTGTTTTATGATGAGCATCATGGTCAAGAAATTGAGCACCCTTGGCACTGCACTGACTTTAGGCATAATCATCTGAGACACAGTCGCCGTCTGTCATGATCTCGCGAGAAAACGCAGCAATTATTCTTGAAAGAAATCAGATGCAAAACAAAAGTAGATGCTTGTCCTTCAGAGTAAATTTCTGTACACTTATGATCTGTAGATAATTTACTTTTTTCCGTTTCTTTTGGAATCAATGTTACAGTGATACATTCTTAGAGAGTTTCAGGAAGAATGCGCAGTGAACTGGAAATTGACTGAAGTGAAGAGAACTACCTACAGCAGATTCCAAGACCTCGAGTATACTAAGACTGCACTCATTTGGATGAACGTTTTGTCTAAGCAATAAGTTCCTAACATTTTTGTATATCAGATACATTCGAATGATATTAATGCTCGTAGCTCTTCCGATGGTATTTAGCCGGTGGATTCACAGCAGAACATTTGCGGCGAATTTCACCCTGGCTTCCCGTTAGCGGCGCAATTCTTCCCATCTTCTCCATAGATAGACCGAACTCTCTGAAAAAGGTCTTCGGAGAAATGATGGATTTCGAGACGATGGCACGTCCATCCTTGTCCTGGATGAGCGCGTTGTCAGATCCAAAGAGTGCTTTCTTGCTAACAATGTTGCGGTAGTAGTTGCCATCAAATCTCTGACCGCCAAAGCTGGGATCCATGGGAATGAGAGTCAATTCTGCACCGGGAGGACACTTTCGTTTCAGCGTCTCAGCGTATTTCCTATCCAAAGATGGATCCACTCCATCACGACTTCCTGGAAAGTTGTACAAACGTGGCATCACCACAGCGCAATGGGCCTCTCCTATAGTGTGTGCACCTGCATTCATGTATTTTACGAAAGTCGTCAGAATCCTTATTCACATATCACCATCACTACGCAAGAATTCAGAGTACTGTTACCCTGTGCCGGTGATCAAGCCTAAGAAGAGAAACTAGTTCACTGCCTCGTCAAGTTAGTGCCAGATCAGAATTCCCATCGAAACGTGCATCAGTAGAGTTAGGCAGCCAGCCTGTGATAAGCTTTCAGGCGATGATTGAGAAGAAGTTTCCTATACCTGAGAGAATAACCATGTCTCTTTCATTGAGTCCTACATTTGCGAAGTTCTCGACAAGCTCGTCATAGTTCATGGTAGGAATGGGAAGACTGATATTTGCCGCCTCTGCGATTGAGCTTAAGCTGTCTCTTCGACCAAGAGGTACTCTCCATCTTGGGCCTCCCTTCTGCAAAGTAAATAAATGATTAGAGCATGTGGTGCGAATTTAGCTACTGAAAAGGTCATAGTAGATTTGACGTAACAACATCTTTGTTCTTCACTTACAAATGAGATCGATTCTCGAGCAGCAAGGCTCAAAATATCTGAGCAAGACACCACTCCAGGGCATATTTCCTCAATCGCTTCTTTGACTTTATCTATGATTTCGAAACCTCTGAGTGAAAATTTATTTGGGAGGGCGTCCTTCTCGGCTAAATTTGTGGGTGTCGAATCCAAAAGAACAGAGCCATCACATCCCTGCAAATCAAGCTTCACTTGTTGCGGTCAGTCCAGTTGTTGCAAAAGGCATTTGTAAACTATGGTTTATAAAAGTCGAATGGAAATAAGAGAAGGAGACGTACGTTAACAAAGCAGTCGTGAAAGTGCAGACGAATCAAAGCTGCTGGTAAGGATTTATCTTCCTTCGTGTAATATTTGATCAAGCCGGATATCTTGCTTACGGCTTTTGGGCAATTTCTGGAATAATAATTCTCCCTTAAGCCAGCATGATTTCCAGAGTAACCATAAGCATCACCAAGTGATGCGAAGACCAGTGTAGCTACCACTACGATAAGCATCCGGGTATACATCTTCGAAGCCATCATCCACGCAAACTGCACACGCAAGTTGAAAAATAATGAGCGTGCTCAAACGGGAGCAAATTTTTTCAGGCGAACTCAGGATCAGATTCCCCTCTGCATCCAGAAATAACAAGATTCAAGTGCTGATAACAACTCAAGAAATCATAGCTGATAGCCACACTGCTGAAGAAAAGAAATTACAGGTGAGATATCTTACTTGGTGGCGTTTCAGATAGCTAGGCTAGCCAATTCCGCAGTAACTCCTGACCTCGTTCTGCCAACTTCGTTCGGTCTGAAATGATAGCTTTTCTTATCGGATTCGGCTGAAATTCTGCACAGTAAGATAATCCATATCAAATTAATTCAGCAAAGAAGCCGCTTTTGACTTTCAGACCGTCGATGACTACTGCATGTACGTTCACTTGGATGCAAACTGAAATTTCAGGAGACAGCTCGGATGAGTACAAGGCCCTGACAGCAACAAACTCTCTGAGAAGAAGTTGTTCCAAATCTGACTTTCTCTCTCAGAAAGTAGACACAGTATGCAATATTTTAGACGCTCAGATGCATACCTCTGCACAACTCGTTTAACTCGTACTCGATCAGAACCAAGCATACGTAATATGTACGTCGGTATTTCTCCTTTTTTGAGTGGTTATCTACAACATGTGTAGACACTCTCGTCGTCAAAAACAGACCTCCACTGAGGTGCTTCTGAATGTTTAGATGCAGCAAACTTTTGAGCTTTATAGTTCAGCCTGAGCCTGGTAGATATACAGTCATTGGACATGACGCAGATCGTTATGACACCAAGTCAACCAGACTAGCGCGAAGACCAGTACATGAGAACTCCAAGTTTGGATGTACGTCACGGAACGCCAAGAATAGATATGAGTTGAAGTCCCGGATGTAACCAGACCTGGTCAAAAGTCAACTCACTCAGTCTGAATATGGGCTTTACCTTGAGGAACAGACAGACAGATCTCGTCGCAGCTGCAAATTCTGTTCCCATTTTACATCCGTTCCAATTCTACAAGTGAGGGAGGCTGCCACATCGATGCCAAGGAAGAAATTGGGTCGCCAGCTATAAACTTCTCTGTACTCTATCACTCTGATCCAGCAGCTCTCGAGCGTCCACCAGTTTGAACGATTCCTTCTTATCCAAAAAAATGTGCGATACACGTTAACAGAACAATGCCATGACAGTATCCTCTCATCACCGCAGGTGTTACCACCTTATTACTTCCATCACCCTTCAGAAGATATCACAAGTATGTTGTCATGTCCACAGAGGATTTACAGGGCCTTACGTACCAGTGACATGCAGTGAACATTCCATTGAAATTTTGCCATATTTTCGAACCCTTGTACTGTGATCAGATTCTGGAATTCCTCAGTAGTAAGAGTGTCAACTTGACGGGACGTCGTAACGCAGCTTGGTTCCAAACGCTCGACGTCGTGTGCATCCTGGTTGAGGAGATGAGATGATACGATGGACTATATTTGGCAGAAGTTTATGTGGCGGGGCGTGAACTTGTGGACTTTCGAGACAGGTCGGTCTCGAAAGTCCACAGGGTCACCTCTCCAGCAGTGAACAGGAGAATTTAGACATCGGTGCAGGACCTCAGCACAGCTCCACTATTTTAAGCAGAGGCCAAGTTAGAGCACCCACAACCATATCTCACGCGTATTGGAGAATTTTTCCACTGTCCGCCTCTTCCTCGAATGTGGCTATACTGGCGCCATTCCAATATTGTTCGAGTCATCAGCTCGATTGACCATGCATCGAGCAGACCGCGTTCAGATTCTATGATCAAGTTGAGCCTTGGCATCAGCCATAAGCTAATGTTGTAATTTTACTGGCATCATGTAAAAGATTGCATCTACAAATATGCTCAGCCAAGCAATCACCAGCTTTGTCCATATTGGATCAGATCGCATTTGTAGGGAATATCTAGGACTGTGCTAAGATAATAATTTACTCATTAATTTCATCCCGTCCCGCTGTCGATTTTCTTTTCGTAAGCATATGTTGGGATTGGTTTGCATTAGAAAGTGTGTTTGAGTACGGAGTATTTCCATTTGTAACATTTTTAGAATATTCATGCAACCAGCAAAATTCATCTTTTACCTTGCAATTTTTAAACGGAACAGTTTTAGCAGTTAATCTGATTCATTTTAGCAAAAATTGGACGTGTGGTGAAACTTCTGAGCCATAACATTAATGTTGGGTAAGAAGTGTACGAACACTCTGTTAGATAATAATAGCAAAGAATTGAAGTCATTCTTCAAATCAATCCCAGTAAATTAGAAGAAGCATTGTGTAACTGATAAACTGTTTATAATAGCGTTTTTATAATCGTTTAAAGGCTTTAGAATACATGTTCTTTTCTCTAGCCATTGAATTTCCGAGTTTATTTTTCCAAGTATGCACATAAGGTAAAATTCTTATACTAAATAAAAATACCTACTCCACAAATTTTAAAGATAAATCTATCTGTCGATATCAGATTTCTTAGGACCTAAAGAGTTGAACATTACTCGATTGAATAACATCACAATGGATAATATTTAAGGACATAATGAAAGTTAGAAATCATAATGTTTGATCATAAATTCTACAACCATGTTTGAAAAATTTACGTAAAAGGATATGATATCAACTAATTCTTCAAGACATTTTTTAATATAGATTTTTATGAATATATTTTTATCAGAAATTCAATGAATACAGAGTATTGTTGAAACGATTAAATTACAGATTTGAATTAAGAAACGTATACTGAACTGACTACTAAAATTTAAAGTTTTTACAATCAGGTGTAGACAGGCTGGATCTGTAACTAATGCCGATAAAAACATCGATATCTTTCTACATGAGCAATTATCTTCCAATTTGCGTCTATCAACAATTCAACATGTGTACAACCAGTTTGCAATGGCAAACTGGCTCGTGCAAGTTGTATAGAGACTTAGCTGTAGACAGCTCTCATCATCATAAAAAGAATTGACACTAAAACCTTAACATATGCAATTACAGTTGCAAGGCACTCGAGCAGGTGCACATGAGTCCATACATATACTGTTGAGTGAACTAACATTTCATTGTGACCATAGTTGGAAAGCTTTGGCCACGAAGTCCACTGTCAGATCCAATGCTGGAATGGATCGGAATTCCACATTGTGAAGTCAACTGCGAGTTGGTGATTCATCTAAGGTGACACTAACGGAACTAAGCCCTTGAGGTGGTGTTACACAATCCGAATACGTTATATCTGTACATACCAAGTTTCACCAACTTGGTAGATTGGTTTAAAAATTCGATGGAGTGAACGAACAGCCTCCCAGATCTTCCACGAGCCTCGATGTCCAGATTTTGGTCCCGGACTGCATCCCGCTGCTGCACGTCATATGGGCGGGTATCTTGGGTGATGTGGTGCAAGAGTGAGGTCAACAGGTTGTGTTCGATCATGGCCAGCACCACAGACAGGGTCATGCATGATGGCTTCCAAGTCCGCGTCGCTGAGCTCGAAGAGATCCTGCACATGTTGAATCGGCACTGTGGTAGCAGTCCGGGTATTTTCAAGTTGATGATTGAAGTAGAAGCCGAGTCCCGCTGACAGTCTAGAGAGGTTGACAAGTTCGAAACCTGAAACTTAAAGTTAAGGAGCAAAAATGACGCAGCGAAGTTGAATGAACTGATCGCTGGAGTTAAGCAGTGCTTGTAAGCTTCCCAAGCTCGCCTGCATTTAATAGAAGACTGCCATGGATCCCTGAAAATCACATCCTTCTCGAAGTTAGACAATCCATGGCGATATCTCTGTTCCACCTGCGTCTCGTATAGCATAGAATTTTGAGGCAAAAGCAAGATTATGCTGTCAGGACCTCGTATCCTGGAAAACAGTCCTATAGCTTGTCTGTATTTTACAATCTAGCTCATCTGCAGACTGAGTGCTGGATATTCCAGTACGACTATGTACATGACGATGTCTAGACTTTCACGAGTGCAATATCAGGTGGCAAATTTCCAGTTCAAAACAAGACAACTCTTTCGGCCTCCATGCTCGAAGATTTTGAACTTCAGGCGACAGCTGTGTGAAAGCTTCTCTGGTCCACCCTCGGCAAAGACCAAGCCTCAGATGAAAGTAGAAACACACAGGACGATTACATGCCTCAAATATTTGTTTCATAGATCACTCACTAGCTAAAATTGCGAAATGTGGACAGACGGAAGGATGAGTTACATTGAGAAGCCGGGTAGCTGGTCCACATCTGGAAGTCAATGTCGAAAACTGGCCTCCAAGAGCGGACGAAATCAATGAGATCAACTAGCATCATGATCAGAAAAACTGAGGTGGAAATCTATTCTGAAGAAAAGCTGCGCAACAGCGCGCAAAATGTCCATCACAACACCGATATACAGAGGTTGAAAGATCGGCATGTTGTACAACGCTGATAAAAGTTGTCGGTGAACTTGAAGCCTACAAATGTAGGGATTGAAATGCACGGGCGCGGTTAAGCTTACGAGTGTCGACACGAGCACATACGAAGGCTTTGTCGGTGCTTCCGTAAGGCCTCTATTAAATCACCTGTCGATCGAGCGCAACAGGTGGAGTCTTGGAGAAGCTTACGTATTCGGACTCAGCAGCTCCGCAGACTCAAATATGTTGAGATCGTCGACTCCACCTGCTGCTGAGATTGCAAAGCTAGTCATGAACTAAGGAATGAAGAGCTTGTTGGTACGCGCATGGAATAGATTATGTTGAATTTGGCACCTGTGCGTCTTGAAGTGCCTTGCTTTGAGGCGTAGAAATCTGGATTCCGTGTTGTTTCCGTGTATTGCTGCGATCAATGCACGTGTGCACCGAGGGTCCGAATGCAACACGAGCCAGCTTTTTACGCCTCTTCTTCGCCTGATGGTGTGTGTATATGGAGCAGGCTGAGCAGGTTAACAATGACTTAGTGCAGGGATACTGAGAGCTTATTACAATTTAAAAATCTGCAGCCCGGGGCAAGAAACTGCTGTTTTTCGAGTGCTTTATAATTTATAAACACCTGGAGATGGTGACACATCCATTGGTCAGCGACTGTTTTTGGAACTCTACACAGTACACTGTACCCTTTCGTCGTTTTTGTAGGAATGAAGAATGTTGGGATTTGGGTATGTCTGGTACAGTTCTTGTACTTGAGCTTGCTCATGACCTGACCATGATAGGTTCAACCGAAATAATTCTGAAGTGGTTTAGTGTACATCCATGATCAACTATTCAACTGATCCTGCTGAATCTATGCAAATTTTTGCTCCAGAAAGTACACGTACTTCGTTGACTTTGAGAATGAGAAGTAGAGCTATGAGCAATGCTTGAATACGCTGCAGAGCTCTGCATCTTTCAGTTCTAGCTGCATCATTATTTAGCATTTTACAGCTAATCTAAAGTGGAGATCTGTACTGCGTATCTAAGTCCTCCCCACTTTCTATGACAGCTCATGAATGGAATAGATTACAGGAACGTATGAATCTCTCGTGCAGCCTTAACCCGAAGGTCCTGCCAAGTGCCATAGTGGCAATTGTCCATGACTTCCTAAGGTGATGAGGAATCTACTGAACTCTGTATCAAAGCCCACATACTGGAACACATATCGGCTTTTGTTATATAGTTAGTTAGTTATATATATATATATATGACTCTCTATCATCATCCAAAGTCACTTTCTAATCTTGATTGACGCTTCCGATACTAGGTTCACTCCTCCTCAGTTTACATATCGAAGTATTTATATTTCTCTCTTTCTGTAGTACACTCCTTACCCTGCAAACATTTGTAAAATTTTCACCATCTACTTCCTTGGTCCTCAATTCCTCAAAAAGGATTGACTTGATTCGTAATAAAATTTGACATTGGATTCATGCTTTGATTTGATTTGTAATACAATGACAGATGATGCAGATAATACAGTGAAGTCGGCTCTCCAGAATCATGAGGATTGTTGTTGAATACTGACAGCTCTCTCCATGCATAGGCATAAAGTGCTAGTTTATGGGATGCACGATGTTTTCAGGGGCTTTCAGGAGGCTTAGTGATCTCCACACCCTTATTGAGTGACACATCACCAAAATGATTGGCCATGGAGATATGCATGTCATCTAGTCTGGTTCTCTGATACCAAAAGTGGCTTGCAAGTTCAGGTGATGGCTTCAGGAAGCCTAGCTATTACTGCGTTATGGGCAGTGATTTATGAACATATTTTCGTTTGGTTTGGTTTGAGTATCTTAGCATGAGAATACGTACTGTATGCTTAGACGTCAGCTTGGTATTATCATTTCACAGCTACAATAGAATCCAACAGACTCGGAAGGAATCGAGACCTGTCATGGCACCACGATCGTGCAAGAAATGTAATCGCGTGGACTGCTTTTGAATAGAACATTACTGAAGACGGCAAGTGGCCGAGAACATTAAAGTAGACCTTCTACTACCTCTTCACGTCTAAACATTTCCAATTTTTTCTTGGGTTGATTTTGTACGTCTTTCTAGATTGTGATATGTTACACCAATTTTTACGAAATATGTATGTCTCGGCATATGTAATTCGCAGCACAACGAAGACTAAGACAGAAACAAAGTCATTTCGAATCCTAAGAGCCCTAAAACCGATATCAACCACTTGAGGATATATCTCTATTTTCCGTCTGGTGGGTAGATATTTCAAGGTCTTTGTGTGATATTGCTTGCATGGGTAGCAAATTGTTGTAACAAGGTGAGTGTTCTGGTTCAAAGAATTTCCCTCACTGATTCATGGAGATCTAAGTGGTCATCAATTAACAAGCTTTTAATCCTGCAGTGAGTCATGTACTAGTTATTAACAAATTTCATAGATCTCATCTTTCATCCCATACAGGATTGATTGTCCATGTGGAGTCAAACAACTCCATACTTTGGTTAAGATGAGCCAACGGATTTTGATTTATAACACTCCGTGCAATCATGACTTCATTTGGCTACTACATTTGGTTTCATATGACCTGATTAGCGCAGCTGCATGGTATTCTCGAAGGTCTGATTGACCTACGTTGCCTTTAAAAAGAACTCCAGTAAAGAAGAAGTTGATCAAAAACCTTGCAAGCTTTTCTGGTGCAATAATTGACTGTCAACTCGATAGAAACTCGAAGATTAGTAAAAAATGTTTGCTGGGTCATAGCTACTAATTCGGATCTATCATCGAACCCTTGTTCCACTAAGACGGATCTGGATCCATGCCCACATGACCCTTGCAACTGCTTGTCAAAGGATAACAAGGCGAATCGCCAGCCAGTATCTGAATCCAACGTGGTTAGTATCCTGACGCTGTTTATGAGCCGCATTACCAGGAAGTCATTAAATCATCAGTCAAACGACATTTTCGAGACCTAGATTGGCAAACTACCGACAGATTTCTTATGTGAACTCCTTCAACCTCAATCGCAGGTTATACGAGCTTAGTCGCAGATACGCCCCTTAATTTCGGTGAGCCAAATCAGGAATTCTTCGGGCCGTCCTAATAGAGTAAGTGCAGAAACATGGACACTCCCCACAGAGTGAGCTGGTCCAATGTGTTTGAGGGTTCGTACGCAGCATTCGTCAAGATTACCTCTGACGACTGACAGTCGACAAAAGCTTCATTATTATTAGTATAGCAGTTTGCAGTGACCATAGCCTTTTAGACCTTATATCAATCCAGAATGAATATTCTCCACTATGATTCTCGAGGAAAATTATCTAAATGGCTGTGAAGATTTTCAATAGCGTCAGAGAAAGCGCAAGGACGATGATTTGCTGTCTCTCAATCTCTTCTTCTGTCGTGGAGGAGACAACTCTAATTATACGTCACTACGACTCTCGATCGTAGCTTGCGAAGACTGTAAATGCAAGGTATCACGGATCTGCTTGTCTACCCTCTGACATGACTGTACATGTTAAGCAGATCCATAGGTTTTTGCTTATCTTTATTCATTGTCATAACCTTGACTGGCACCCAACCTAATGCAGACATGAGTCAACACCTTGATAGTCTTTTTTATTTCTTGATTTGGTACTCTTTTCTTCATCTTAATAACTTAAACTTTCTTTGGAGTGTGTATTGAGTTCCATGTAGCAAGACTCTGTCTCCATTCTTAGGGCTCACCATAGTTACCATGATGTATTAATGATATGTTGTATCCTGTGGCGTAAGAGACTTCACATATAATGTACGTTGGTTTCTGCACAGCTATATTTATGATTGGATCAAAAGTACTAGAGATCATGCACGAGTAAACTAGTTAGGTCATTCATTCTCTAGCCTTAAAGTTCTAAAGTCAATATAGACTGTATGTGCTTGTAAGAGCCTTTCATACCAGGCAGCGCAGGGTACATTTTTTTTTGGGTTTATTGTATACTGTTTATTAGTATCATGTTCTCATCGATGTTCCTTGTGATATACATACCCAGATCTTTGGTTCTCGTTTTTGCACCGCATTTTCTTGTGTTGGTGCTTTGTTGTTTGAAGATAGTTGTTTATTGTCTGCTGTCATTAGTCGGGGTGGAGTACTGGAATAGTCAAATAATCTTGTGATGCTTTCTACACTTTCTAATGTAATAGGTGGTTATAGTTGAGAATTGGATATTGTACGGTGATATGTTGGGGTCACAATCGAGATTGTTGGAGGTCTGAAGTAAATAAATATTTTGGTAGCAACGTACTCATCTGTAGCGGATTTCGGTACAAAACTTGACCTTCTCAGTTTACAAAAAGTTTCGATATGGTATTAGCCCTTAAGATTAGGCAGCAGTCCAACATGACATCTGGACTTAAGGTGTCCGAATTAAAAATTCCAAGTTTGGCTATATTTCAACCAATGTCGGATTTCAAAGCTTGTGTTTTACCTCATACGAAGCAGATGCTGTAAATTACATATGCACAATGACAACAATGTGCATTTGTTTTTGACTTGTATTGCATCACATATAATTTATTCCAGAGTGGAATAAATTAGTTAGTGGAACTGCACAGGAAGAGGGAAGGCTAGACAATAGGTTAGGGTTCTATGAGTCCTTCACGTTGTCTCGGTAAAACAACACCTTATAATCAATTGCATTACTTAAAGAGTATGATTTTACCATTTTCTTATTGAATCTAATTACACTGCTTATGAATAAACCGCTCCACTATAATTTACTTGTACATTCTCAAAAAGCGAAGATTGTAAGATAATATAGGAATCTTTTGGAGTGTCAATCTAGGTATCTTAAGAATAAATATCCAGCAAGAAAGAGCAAGTGTTGACAACAAGGCTTTATGAGGAGGGGGAATAGTGTATATATTATATCTTCATTACCTGTAATTATGTATCGTAGAGAATATATTGGCTAGCAACTTTATTTGACTCTCGAGGGAAAAATGGCTTGGTGAAAGGGAGTATGGAGACCTATAAATGAAATATAGATCCATTTCCACCCAAGAAGAACGAAGTCGAGAGCAAAACAAGATAGATACTTCAGCGTATGTAACCCAACACATTCAATTAGATATGAAGAACCATGTGTAGATTCAAAGCTAAGATAAAATTTTGTTATCTTAGCTTTGAATCTAAGATAACAAAATTTTAACAAGTGTATTCTTCTTGCTCTCGATTCTTCTTCCCTCAAAGAGTAACTTAGGAGACATTAAGGGTCTATGAACAAGAATAACAAGATGAAGGTTACAAAGTCAGTTGTATGTTTAATGCCAGATAACTTCCATCGTTATCAGGTCAAAAAGTGGCTCCTATTGAATGTGAGATAAGACTAAGACTAGAAATTTATGCAAATGTGACCTCAATGTTCGACCATAGCCGCTCATTTAACCAGTGAGTCAGGTGATCCAAAACTTGACTCGAGCTCGCTATCGAGTTTATCACTTGATGGCCACAAATCATAATAACAAAGTGAGTTGTCATGACAGAGACTGCTTTGCATCATGACATCTGCTATCGGAAATTGGTGGTGTGATCTAAGTAAAAAAAATCTGTCTGGAAAATGATACGCTCGAAGGTCGTTGTTATAATTTCTTTCTTCCTCGCTACTGTAGTGAAAACCTTATACATTCCAGCTTCCCAATAAACTAAAAGTCCTTTCCTACTTGAACTCATACGCGATGAAAATTCGTTATTCCGTTTGGACATTATTGTGCACGACAACGGTAACCAGTGCCAGAGCATATGTCGTGTTGACCTTCTTCTGTAGCGCTCAATGATTGAATGTAAATTAGTTTGGTATCAAACAAGACATTAGGTCCATCATGTAAGTTAACTTGGTATATACAACCAGCGATCGAAGTAACCTCTTCGTGAAAATCTGGAAAACCTGCTCTGGATTCCCGGGATGAAAGTAGACCGCCATAGGGTAGTATCTGCAATGTGTGATCTACTATAACCAGAGTCTCCGGTATGAGATTCAGCCTGCCAGTCAGACTGGTTGTCAGGACTTCACAGATTCTCAGAAGCGATAGTTTAGATTTCTCGTTGTTCGAATATTGTTGTCGTCCGCGTGTAAAGCTAGAAAATATGAACTTCAGTAACAAGATTCCAGTTGCCTTCGTTGTAGCCATGAGGGACTTGAACTTGGATGTTCTGACTGGGTAAAGGCATGTGCAATGTCGTATTTCAGATAGCGTCTCGCATCCAATTCAGTGCGCAATGAATTACGTGATTATATTTTCTGATCAGAAAACCCTGCATGCACAATGTCATCGATGGCAGAAATCCTCATATTGAAGATCTGTGGTAGAATCCGAGGTCTGTGGGCATCAGATGGCCTAATGATGTTGGATCAGGCATTACAAAAGCATATTGGCAACAATACCCTCAAACTGCACTAGAGTTCAGTTAAAGGAACATACGTATGATATAAAAGGTGACTAAACTTCGTTTCCTTATCAATATTGATTGCAAAAATTTCTTCCATTACTTTCAGTGGAGGGCTCGAGATGGAGAAGGTGGAGAACTATTAAAGTACACGAAAATTCACGTAAAAGTATTTTTAATGCAATGACAGTTGTTTAGAAATTCGGTATCCGGGTTGAGAGAATGTGCCTTTTCTTGCAGAACACACTTCACTACACTACTATGAAGAGGAAAAATCAGATCGTTATCCTTGTCGGCAGCAAAAAGAGGGCGTCTGATGAGAATCCAGACAAGACTGATTCCAGAAGGAAGAGTATGAACTGCATTATGATTCTGAATATTCTATCTTATTGAACCCTTCGAAATCAGTCGGAATCACTAATCCTTAGATTCCGACTGCATGTTACTTCAGAAGCAAATGTGATCAATACCAATTGAGTTCAGGAGAACTTGTGAATGTCGAACTCGTTTCCGAATCGGCGACAGATCTGAGAGTATGTAGCAGCTTCGAGTTTTCCACACTCTACATGCACGTGGGCAGATGCCCGGATATGGAAGGCACGTCATTTGTATGAAGGTACATTCAATGGCCTGTGAGCAGAATGAGAGGGCATACGTATCGCTGAGGTCAGAACCTTTTGTCTCTCGACTGTTCAAACTACTAATCAAACTTCAAGATTACTCTCAAACCCTGTCCTTGCACTGTAGGCCAAAGAGTTCAGAGGACCATGTTATGGAATCCGCCTCACACGAATGCAGAGTAAATGTGGGGCAAGCCGCCTGAATGATGTGAAGATGAGGAGAAGGAAGTATCCAACTTATTGGAGAACCTGTTCCTTAAGCTGCACTCGACACACGAAGAGCAGCATGACCGCCAGTTGGTAAGATCTGCTGGCAAGAGTAGCTCGAACTGTGGGTGATACGTACAGGGCGGGTTTCTAAGCTTTGATTAAAAGCCGAGAGTGTGGTGACTCTGCCGGAGTTGCTGAGGTCGTGGCGTTGCCGGCCTTGACACCGGCCGCTGTAACAGTACAAGCGAATCCTATATTCCAGTCACGCACTGACATCGTCCACCAGGTGCATATGCAGAGCCATCGATGTCGAATCTTTTCTGTCGCGAAAGCTTGATGGTGCCAAGTCGAGGTCACAACTTAAATCGATCCTTTAAAACTGTAGGCTCGGTTCATTCTACGTGGAATCTGGAAGGATCTCTCGGCCAGCTCCGAGCTAGCTTGTTAGATCACATCCAAAACAATCACAGGTCCGAATTTTCAAACTTCTTTCTAAATCACACTGACCACAATCATTCATGGATGATTGTTTGATTCTCCTGGTTCACAAGACATCAGGTTTGCCTTAATTCTACGTCATAAAGCATGATTCGAGCTTCGATTATCACGGACTTCAGCCTCATTTGTGAGACTCGAAATGTGCGTTTGAGCCACGCGGTAGCTTTTGCAATCCCTGGTTAAGAAACGCAAACCAATAGTGTGTGGACGGAGGTCCGGACGCGGTGTCACGGTTCCAACTCTTCAGGCAGGCTCCGCGGATCTTCACTGCTCCGATCGTTCACTTCACAGTCTGCTCAGAGAGCAAATGCACAGTCGATGAGACAATCACACCTTCACGTGCGCAACAATCGGTGCTAGCAATTCGACCATCGAAACCAATACGAAATCCGCATTCTGAGCTACAGCGGTTTCGACGGTGGTTGAAGCAGAGCTGGAAACAAAGACCCTCCTCAGTGTCCCAGCACTCCCCAGATCGTGGCCCGGGATCGGAACTCCAGCGCATGACCATTCATTCTATGCTTCGCACTTGCGGACGAGCCCTGCGAGGCAGCCTCGGTGGCCAATGCCGCGTCACCTCCACCATGGAGTTAGCTGTAAGCCTCGTGAGGAGGGAAGATGGACGTCGTGGGGTCGTCGACGGCATGATGCCTCGTGCTGCTGTGCTGCCTTCCGGTTCAAGCGAGCTCGCTCTCCCTCGCCGCTCCAAATTTGGCTGCCTGCGAGTTCAGAGGTCAGGGAGGAGCTGGACGTGCAGTCCAATTCGCCCGGGCCGGATCGAGTAGCTGCCCTGAATCCCTGTCATCAGTCATGCTGGATCCGAGCACGTCGTGATCGTATGTTCCCAGCGGGGGTGCAAACGACGCCCCTGATTGAGCTTCCAGCTGTAGGATTCAGACTGAGCCCTGACTCGAAAGTCGAGCTAGTGGATCGACATTTCCGGATGGAATGGAAGTTCACAGTCATCGAGTCTAGTCGGAAGATGTGATGATCAGCGACTGCAAGCATGGCAGTTCTATGGTTCCTTCAGCTTCGAGAGAACGCGATCGGTCGAACGAAATTGAAGAGAAGCGCAGGTGTAGACGACAGATTGTTTTCAAGGAATGACTCCCACTATTCAGTTAGGGGAAGGACATTTCCCCGGCAACTGAATAGAAGATATTTTCATATGTGCTCGTGGCCACAAATCTCAAAATACAATCTGATTGAATGACCCTAATCTACTGGAGCCATAAAGCTCGTCTAAATTGGAGCTCTCAGCCAATGCTGCTAATCTATGCTGCTGCTGTGTGGCCAATGTTCTACCATCGCTCTCTAACCCAGCTAATATCTACAAAGAAGAAAAATATGGTCGCACAAATATACTGCTCAAACTGAATCAATGAGTTTTACCAATCTCGATACTGAACAGTTCAAGAGAGGTTATCTGCTAGTCTACCATTGTCCGGCGAGGATGTCGTCGTCCAGATTCATGAGCTTGAACATGCCTAGTCCAAGCTCTGTCGCATGATCCTGTCGCGATGAATGAATAATTGTTCACGTTCATGAAAAAGCTAAAGTTTCCCTTGAGAAGTTCCAAAGACAATCAAATCCATTGATGTTCGGGATGTTCGAGACGTACGACGGGGTCGTAGCGTCTCCATTTTCGGGGACAAGAAATTCGTCCCCGTTAAGGTTCAACTGGATGCTCGTGCTCTCGTGCTCTCGGCTCTCGAGCTGCAGCATCGCTTGCTTACTACTGTACCCCTCTTCAGTCATCCTCTGAAGTAAGGAGAAGGTTTCAACTTTTCACGTCGCTTTCGAATGCAGATCCGTCGATTTAGGCCGACGATTTGGTCTATTCGGCCTTGACAATGTACCTGTAGAGAACGATCTTCTTCTTCTTTGACGAGTTGTCCACTGTCACCACGACTTTGCCTGCTTCGGGTGCCTTGAATGTGCTGCGAACCGGTGCTTCTGTAGAGACGGGCAACTTCTTGCTCTTCTCGATGGTGATCGCGTAAGCGCCTTCGGTGCTGGGCACAAACTCAGCTTCGTAGTTCACCTCATAACCCACCACGGTCAGATCCCAGACAACGGAAGCGTCCTGTGCAGAGAAAATCGAGTGGTGAATAGATCGTATCTCCATCGCAAATCAAACTCATACAATTCGCATTATATAATCTTTGGATGATTTACAGCAGATTTCAGATTTGAGAATAAAATTTCATACGATCCATCGTGCTAGCAACTGTTACAGCTGGTTTCGAAGCTGAGCTATGGATTTCATACCTTCTCGAGGGGAATCTCGATGGTTTGCTTCTCGCCAGCCTTCAAGATCAACTCCTGTACAGGTGCATCGACCCCTGCGAAGTCACAGTCGTTGGTTCTGCTGAGACCTCCATAGGAAACTGGAATATGTTCAGCTGGAATAAACCTGCAATCACCAGAAACAATCGGTTAGATATCGCAGTACGCCAAAATTCTACACCACTCAGTGACTAGAATTGAAATCGGAGCAATTTCTTACTTGAGCAGATGCTCGGTAGTCTTTCCAGCAGGAGCTACGGTGAATTTGCTCTTGGTCCGTTGGGAGAGGAATGGGCTCACGACGGAGTAGAGCGCGGCGAAATACCACGGAGCGTTGACGAAAATCTGCAGAATCCGACCACTGCTTAGTACACTCGCTTTTTAATTGGCTTTGAAATTGAAATTTTCCCACAAGACTTGAAACTCGAGAAAGAAAACGAATTATCACCATGAGCATCATCGTCTTTGAATCTTCAGCTCATTGCAGAAAGCGAACAGTCAAACGAACCTTTCGTGCGACCATCTCGGGATAGTTGTCTTGCAAGAGATCGGTGGCTTGGTTGGCTGCGGACTTCAAATCCTTCTTGTTGAAGAATCCAGTGTTCTTCATGTCAGCAATCTGAACCATAGCGCTGGGTCCCTCGGGGGTGAAGTTCAAGAGTCCAATTCCCTTCTCGAGAACCTGCACCCTCCACCTGAGGAAGGCAGTGATCTTGGCAGCATCTCCGAAAGTCTTCTGGTAGAGCTCCTTGTCTTGGAACGTACCGAACACATTGTAGCACACGGGGTGGCCTTCCTTGTCCTGTCCGTGCATGTACGCAACGCCATCGAGATCGGTTCCGAACTCTTCCTCGAGGATGCTGTCGGTCTTGAATTCGCGTCTCCAGACGATGGTCTTCTTGAGCTGCTTGAACGCCTGGTTCACGTTGAAGTCCCTGGCCCTCAAAAACTTAAGAAGGATGACATCGGTTCTCTTGTCGCCCTTCAAGGGAAGAAGGGGCACTCCCCAGAGAGAAATGTCCTCATCAGGGATGGCATCCTCCGAATCTTCAGCTGCTGGAGTTGCTGCTGCTGCTTCCGACTCTTCGACAGCCTCGGGATCTTCCACGAACACAGGAGTCACGGTCTCAAGAACAGGCTCGGGGATTGTGGCGATGCCCTTGGCCTTCTCTTCCACAACTGGAGCTGGTGCAGCTGCAACGACAACCGCTGGCTCTACCTTGGTCTCCTTCTCGACAACGGGAGCAGCAGAAGCAGCAGCGGGAGCAGCTGCAGCTGGAGCTGGGGCTGGGGTTGGGGATGCAGCTTCCTTGGCCTTCTCTGCAACCTTTGCTGCAGCGTTGGTCACAGCAGCAACGCCCGATGCGGTCACTTCCTTGGCCTTCTCTGCAACTTTTTCTCCGAGGTGGGTTAGAGCTGCAAAGGCCGGGGCAGCTGCTTCCTTGGCCTTCTCTGAGACAGTAGGCTTGGCCTCGACTGGAGTGGTGACAGAAGCAGCAGGGGCAGCAGCAGCAGCAGCGACTGGGGCCTCCTTGGCCGTCACTGTCACTTTCTCCTCGACGGGAGCAGCTGCAGTCACTACGGGAGCTGGTGAAACTTCCTTGGTTTTCTCCTCGACGACGGCCTCCTTGGCTTCCTCAGTAGCTGCTGAAGGCTCTGCAGCAGCGTCGGTAGCTGTGGTGGTGGTGGTAGTCTCGGGAGTCTCAGCAATTTCCTTGACCAGCTCAGTGACAGCACTGGTCTCGGCGTCCTTGGGCGTTTCAGTGACCTTCTTCACGGCGCTGAATTCGCCGTCCTTGATCGCCTTCTCGATCCTGAGCTTGAATTCCTCGAGAGATTTCTTCTCGTGAGTTTTCAAGTCAGCGACGACGTTCGACTCTTCGGCGTATTCGGGAATGCTCGGCTCGACGGGAGCAGCCTCGGGCAAGTCCTGCTCGAGAGCTTCAGTCTCAGACGGCAGCTCTCTTGCAGTCTCCTCGACCTTGGGAGTTTCTTCCGAAGTCGAAGCGACAGCGACGGGAGCTGCAACTTCCTTCGGTGCTTCGACTGCAGCAACGACGGATTTGGGTGCTTCCTCGATTTTGACAGCAGGTGCAGGAGTGGGAACGGGGGCAGCAGCAGCAGCAGGATTAGTAGTAGTAGTAGTAGTAGCAGCAGCCTTGGGGGCTTCAACGGCGACGGGACTGGAAGCAGGAGGAGCAGCAGGAGCAGCAGCAGCTACAACTGGCTCATGGGTCTTCGCTGCGGATGAAGCAGCAACAGCCTCCTCGACCTTGGTGGCAGTCTTTGGGGTGGCCATCTCTCTCGGTGTGAATTGCTGGACAGAAGGAAAGAATCGAAACGCTTTCGTCGAGAGAGAGAAGATTCACCCCAAAGGCTGATGTCACGAGGCAGATCCCAACCCAGACCGGATCCTTTAGACCAGCAGCAGAAGATCTGAAGAAGAGATTGCGAGCCACGAGAGCATAAAACGACTTAATCCAGAGGGGCAAACTTAAGAAGAAGGCAAGCAGCAGCAGCAGCGTAAGCAAAAGCAGTCAGTAAGCAAGGTGAAGCTCAAAAAGCTGAGCACTCTCACACTCGCTCACTCACTCACTTGATCGCTCACTCACTGCTATTCTCAGAGGCTGGCTCGATCGACCTCTTCTAGTGTTTTTTTTTCAACTGTTGTAAGCCACATTTACAATCAATCATTAAACTAAGCCACAAGAATCCAAACGGAGTTGGCTTTCCAGCTCAATAGGCGCGAGTGCAGGAGTGCGGTCGGGCGTCCAATCCTATTCCTTCCGCCCTGCACGTGGACACCGAGGATGTGCAAGCAAGCCCGAGGAAGCTCTGCCGGAGGAGCAGCAGCAGCTGCGCCAGCCGCGTAGACGATTTACAGCGTAATCGAACCATGGCACGGTTCGCGTCTGCCTGCCAGAGCGAGCTCTCGAGCGATGCAGTCGGACCACGACACTGTTTTCTTCTGTCTGGACTTGCGCCCGAGCTGGATCACTGGGCGGATGGCTCGGGATCCAGGCCTGAGGAGCAGGTCCTGAGGAGATCGGTCCTTCGACATGTCACCACCATGACGCTACCACAACTAAACGCCGACGAGTGTGCCGATCCGGCCCACAGTACAGAGAGGTACCCGGACGAGAGATGAGCAGAGCAATGAGCGGATTTTGACATTCATGGGGCAACAGTCTCGGTGATCTGTACATGACCATGACGAGCGCTCCGTCATAGATCCGTAATCGCGTGCGCGATTTCACTGGAGCGCAGCAGATCGTGTGAATCTGTGCTTAATTCTCCCAAAGGGCATTTGCGTCCAAATCCATCCTGCTTCGAGTCGGACGGAGCTCTCGAGCTCGTGCTTAGGGGAGCGCACGAGCAGGCGGGCGAGGCGGGTGAGGGCGAGCTGATGAGCCGAGCCAGATGGCAGAGGGCAGTGTGGCGCGCACGGCCCTGCGACCCGCCCGCCGGGGCTGCTGCTGTTGGAAGCGATCCGAGGCTGGCGCAGCGGTGAGATTCTCGGGAGGTCGTTCCTGCCCAACAGTCGATCGATCGAGCGATGGCGACGAGGATCTCAGATCGTCCGCTTGCGTTCTGGGGAGGACTATTGCACGCGAGGCCCACCGGGGCCCGTCCCGGAGCGATCGAGCGGGGCAGCGAGCGAGAGAGGGAGGAGGAGGAGGAGGAGGGGAGGGAGGGAGCAGGAATGGAGAATCGGCTGGCCATAAGGGAGGAGGGCGGATAGGTCACACACACGATTGCTGCCAGCAGCGAGCTCCGAGGCCAGCAGCCAACAGCGCTGATTGTTGCAGCGACAGTGGGCTTCTAGATGGTGGTGGCCTGGGCCAGCAGCTGACTGGCATGAATGCGTATCTCGCAGATATGATATCGGATGGGATAGCGCGGCTGGAGCACCAGACTTTGCTCATCGTTCTCAGGCTGGAATGCTTACAGCATTCACTCATATCCCAGGCCTGACGCAAGCAGCTGGGGCCCCATCATCCTCAATCTACCTTCTCGAAACGCAATTCAACTCAATGCCCACTGAACCGTCTAACAGTTTTCAAGCAATCCTCGTGTCCAAGCGCATGCGCCTCGTCTGTGACCTCGGATGCGATGGATCTCAAGGATTAGGTGTACATGGGTCGCGGTCGCAATCTAAGAAGAAGAACAACCTCAGCAGCATCGTTAACAGCACATGCACTCAAAATGTCCTAACTATTGGCTATCCTTATCCTCATCGGCTAGCACAGAGACAGAGGCAGATTCATAATCTGGGAGGCAAACTGTTGTCGCAAGAGTTGAGGTTGAGTGCAGGATTTCGAGCCAAACACCGGATCCAGGTGAAGGGAATGCTGTCCCCGAAGCAATTGGAACGCGAGTTGGCCAGGAATTCGATCGGAGCTTTCTCGCTGTTTTGCTCCTGCGCCGCAATCCGAAGAAGCTCTGCTGGCGCACGCAAGGTGCGCCTGAGAGCCAAGATCCGTGCCGGTTCTGGCCCTTGCCTCGCAGTTTGAAGTCCAGACTGACTGGGAGTAAGATTTCTCGACATCGCTCTTGGATGACAGTGCTTGCAGTCCCTCCCAGCTGGATGACGGTCGTTGATACTGTGAGGATCAGATGAAGGTACAATTCACAACTCTCCCTCTCTCTACCTTCTTCTCGACCCAAATTTCTTCCTTCATTCAATCAATGCCCGAATCATCCCTTCTCGTTCTTCCCCTCACGAGCCATACTCATTTCGTCATAACGACCCGCCCCACAATTGCAAAAGCAGAAGAATCCGTGTTCAGATCTTGTACAGTCGAGATTGGAGGGCATGCACCTCTGACAATTTGGGTAGACAATGTGGACCTGGACGTCGATTGTCGAGTTCAACTCGTGGACTCTCCAGATAATCTGCTCTCAGTGTAGAGGCTGCATGCTGGACAGGTTCAGCATGCAGACTGCATTCTCTTTCGATGGATTGAACGAGCGGAGGACGGGCCCTACTTTTATGGCATTGAATCAGGATGTGGATTTCGACGTGACACTGGGAAGATTAGCTACGTGTCGAGATGGCATTTGAGACCTCGATGAAGGTTGAATTGACTCGAAGGGAATGTGGCTTGTGTTGAACAGGGAACGCAGATTTCCTTCAACAAGGCGATAATCAAGGCAATCAAAGTCGTTCAGCATCTGGGGGACGCAAGTTCGAAGTCGAAGGCGGAAAAGAAGCTCAAGGAAGCAGAAGCAGAGGACCTCTTCGAGACAGAAGACTCGCCCAGAGCGGCGGCGCACGAATCCTCTTCCAACCCGGCCAAGCACGGCAAGTGGACGACCAAGTGCATCAAAGCTGGAGGGAAAGGGAAGGCTGGTGCCGACAGATTGCTCAAGGCTGCGAAAGGGAGAACCCTGAGCCAGGTTCTGAGCCAAACGTCCAAAAGATTGGAGGCTCCATCGTATGCTCAAGCTCACGCTCATGCGCTGCACGCCCATGCGTCGTCAACGACTGTGGACCATAAATCTGCGCATTCCACAGCTGCACCATCATCATCAAAGGCGTCCAAGGCGTCAAAGGCGCTAACTTCAGATCCTCCGATACAAATCCTTATGTGGATCGGAGACCAACATATCGATATAGGTAAAACATTGGTTCCCTACTAAGTATAAAGGGAGTACGATTACGCCGCTGTCTGCACAACATCATCACATTGAACACCGAACTGAAGTCCGATTCGTCGAGCTTAACCTCGGCTCAGAAGCCGTGCGATGATTTGGAACTTAATTGCAACTTAACATCATTCGAGAAATCGGCCGAATTGCTGAATGGCCGGCAATTGATGACATTGGCCAACCACTGTCATCGTTAGTTGAATTATTTAACAAACTCGTCATAATGTTATTGAAGGAGATTTATCCTCCGAGTACATATAATAATATCGATTCTCTGGAGAAAGTTCAAGTATGTGCTAGCAGAATTGCGCATCCTGTTAGAGCACAGGTCATTTTCTCTCGATGGTCTATGAGAGTTTTGATTTCGTGGCCAAATAATGAGATTGGATTCTTAGCAGAAGAGCAATTTCTACGATTATTTTAGCCCACAGTTGAAAGTCGAAGGCTAATCCTACGCTGCACAAGCATTGTGTTTTCGAGGTCCCCTCGTTATCACATTACACATCGTCGAATTGCACTTTACTGCTCCTAAATTGCAATGTCCATGCAATCGTGGCATCAGGAAGTGAAAGTTCAAAATGACGTCTTAAATTCACAGATTCCATAACAGATTGAAGCAAAGAACCCAAGGCTGAGCTTTTCTTCTTCAACTATTGGGAGACAAGCCAAAAGGCTTCGACCCTCTCCCCGCCCCTTCCCTCCAAATATGCTCAGGACATGAAGAAGGAAGACACTGGCAAATTATAATGCATTATCTGGGAATATTACCGCTAAATGACAGCACAATTGAAGATCAATCCAGGGGACTTATTGGATCATGGTCCAGATCAACCTCATGCGAAGATCATTGGTCTATTATCCAGCTTCAGAAACCTTATTCTCTCAAAGGTGAACACCTTACGGCTCAATCGCCATCTCGATAAAACATGAGAAACCGAAGTTGTATTATATTTTCCTTCCAATTCAGAAGGAAATGTCTGCCCGCATTAAGAGGTCAACAAGCATGACAGTAGAAACATTTATCACCAATTTCATCGGGGGTGTGGCATAGGCGACTGCATTGTGCTAATATAAATCCGGCCTGGGACACGACATCGCGAATATACCGGTAGAAAGTCTTCTCATGCTTATTATGAATGTCCAGCACCGGTAAGTGAAGGACCTTAGTAGGACCTACTGTACGGAGGTTAAATTATTGTAAGAAACCATTTACGCCTTGCTTGGTAACTTACAAACTCAGGATTCAGATTTCTCCCGGCAAGACTCGAGGCCCATGAGAATTGAATGTGAGTCTTGGAGTTATCCAGTCATTAGATGTAACTTTCGTAATCATTGACGACATTTTTGTGTTATCAAAGACACTACAAGTACAGATGGTACGCATGAGACTAGAAGCTGTAGATGCCTCTCTGGAGCTCTTCTAGCCAGCAAAAAGCTGCTTCTCGATGCCACTGCATGCCAAACTGATCGTTTACTCTTTGAGGACACGCTCTGACTATTTCCGAGTCTCATGCAGGAAGTCATGTCACGCTTATGTTTATGGAGTGGGAAGAACGCTTGACCTCGAGAATAAGGGAATTGAAGCGTTGTCACATCACGTGTACGTCAGTGATCACCAGAAGAGTTCGACCTTCCTTAGATATCACTGGCTACAATGTTCCATCGGGGAGGCGGAAGTACCTGGGCCTTGCCTGGGTGTCTGGTCTGCACAGAGGCTGCTGCCTGTCGTTGTCTACCTGGAGATACCGGAGGTGAAACATCGGGTTCACATATTATGAGAGACAGTGTCGTTCGATTCCTCCCCAAATAACATACATTCGACATCATGCAATGAGCTGTTGCATGCTCGTTTGATTCTCGTTCACAACAGGAAGCGAAATCAACGAAATCAAGCCTAAAATATATCCATCAGGTACGCCATGCAGGAAGTACTGCCATGATATCGCTGTACCCAGAGTGCCGGGCAAACTCAATACATGTGCCCAATTTCAACATGCTCCGCTGCAAAAGAGCAGTAGTCAGCGCTACTATGACATGGATTGGCCAGTTCACATCCCAATGAGTCAGGAGAGGGGGCCGATTCAAGTGTCGAGGAGATTCTGAGTACAGACAAGAGTATCAGTCGATCTTCGAATATTCGTGACTGAACTGTCCTATTCCATTGCAGGTACATACAACAGTCGCTGGTCACATATACATTAACAATTCCTTCAATCCGAAAACGGATTCCTCATGTATTCCGACAGTTGATATTCAAAGGATAAGATTCGTGGACGTAAGATAAAACGAAGCAGGTTCGATCAGCTCTCGAAGCAAGTACAAACGTAAAGAACCATCATGTTCAATCGGACCCACTCGCTAGCCTTAGTCTAATGGTTTAAACTGTCCTTACTTCACTTCATTTGTGTGCGACTTTCAGGAGCTCCCTATTTTCCTGTTGATACTCTCTCCGTATGTACTTTGCGTTTTATACTTCTGAGGATAGAGAAAACCGTCCATGGGACTTCGAACATGGCCGGTAATTTAAAATATGTAATCTTTGCTAAAGGAAGTGAGATGAAGCTCTCATCACACGGCGAGAATGGGATGACATTCATTTTCTGTCCCTAGAGTTAGGCAGACCACTGAAGCAGCGTACGCGGTTGTGAACAGTCAAATCCGTGATTACCATTTACTTATCACTCACGAGTTCCTTGGCTGGATAGCAGGACGACGGATGATTGTTTGAATCGTTCAATCTGGAAGCCTTACAATGAAGAAACTTGCCCTGTTTCAAGAAGATTTTCGCTTGCAGCGAAGTCTATCGTGAAGAGGATGGTAACCACGAACGCCAGACGAAAGGGATTCCGAAATAGTTCGAGAACAGACAAAGACAGGATTGCTGCGCATCGTAGATTCTTCACAAAAATTTCAGCAACCCATATATTAATATGTTGTAAGCCAATGAAACCACAATTCATGTTTAAATGGACAAAGTCCATGATCAAGCTTGTATTTCTCTTTTGACCTGATTTGCAAAAACTTGAGCACTGAATCGTGTGCAAACAAGTTGTCATGTGTGGCGTCGAGAGGCAGTCACAAGGGGACTAGCCTTCGCGCCATAAGTCTAAGTCTAAATGCTAAAGCAAGCTGCAGTCAACCGTCGAGATGCTCTGCATCTTATACCCGTTTTCAGATCAGGGTCTAAAGGAAGAGGGACGAAGACGTTCTCTCAATTCTACACTGCCATGGTGTCGTTGCTCAGTAAGTTATCTAGCTAAACCTTCAAGGGGCCGTGACCGGGGAGAGAATCGTAGAATGATGACATCGTTGCTGAGAAGAGAACCGAGGAGAGTCCCCCCATACCAGACAGACAGAGTACGAAGGGCTGATTAGCTCTCTCGGTCTCCGATCTGATCGATGCAATCTCTGTCCCCAGCACATGCCTTGAAGAAGTCGATGTTCGCCCAGGAAGAGCCCACGGGCGAACTCACTGCGTTCGAAGTCATTGTAGATTTTTCAGCCAATATATCCTTCAACTGCAAATTGCACGTTAGCCCGGAAACACTTGAGCTGCTCCTGATGAAAATGTGCGGAGAAGGGTTGTCGTGATACAGGAGGAATTACAGTTTCAGCCACATGGGCAAGAAGGGATTCAATGTACCCAATGTGTCATTGGAAAGCTTCCGTTGTTATGCGAATGCACTCCAGTGCTGGAAGTTCTTTCCAGATCCTGTTGTCACCATTCACTGAAGTTAAAATAGATCTATTAGCTGCTGAATTTACTGCCTGCCGAAATCAACTGGTCCCGCTGACAACTGCAGCAGGTGTCGTGCCCTTCACGATCGATCTGTAGATGATGGTCTTCTTCTTTCTGGACAAGTTGGAGACGGTGAGCACCACTTTGCCTGGCGCTGTGACTTTGAAGCTGTTGCGCACTGGCTCCTCAGTTGAGGATGGCAGCTTCTTGCTCTTCTCGAGAATGATCGAGTAAGAACCTTCAGCGCTTGGCACAAACTCAGCACCGTACGTGACATCGTACCCGATCACCGCTAGATCCCACACCACGGTCGAACCCACCTGGAAGAACGAGAAGAAGAACTAATGTCAGCACTCGGACAGAATTCGTTTCATTTGAGTCCTTGGAAAAAACGAGATGAGAAATTTTGGGAACTCTCGACCGGATTTGAGACCTCCAAATCTATCGATGGCATGAGAGTATCAGTGACAGATGCATTACCTCGGTGACTTCGATGTCGATGCTGGTAGACTTTCCGCCCTTCAAAAACAGCTCGTGGACGGGAGCAGAGCCGGCGCTGAATTCTGTGTCATTGAGTCTGCTCAGACCTCCGTACTGGATTGGAATGTTGTCGGCGGAGATAAGCCTGTTGGAATTCAGTGAGCATTTGATTAGTGCCATTATCCTTATCACCTGCATAAGATCTCGATGTCGGCATTGACTATAAAATGAGTGCTGAGACTTAACGCCGACTTACTTCATCAAACATTCGGTGGTGTTTCCGGCGGGAGCAACAACGAACTTGCTCTTGGTTCTCTTGGAAAGAAGAGGGCTGATGACTGCGTACATTGCGGAGAAATACCTTGGAACATTGATGAAGACCTGATAGAATCCATGCACAAGTCAGATCCTTCGCGCAGAATATTCAGGAGAAATCGACATCTCAAATCCTTCTTGCTGTACGAGTTTTGCGCTGGTGTGACTAAATAATTCATGTGCCTTCTAGATTCCCAATTCAGCTCGAATTCTATCGGCGGCAAGAAGACTCCATTCTCAAAACAATTTCCAACCTACTGATCATAAAATTCCAATGCAATGCCATAATGTTGGAGGAAGAAAGTAATGGCGAGAGGTGAACAAACCCTCTTGGAGGACAATTCGGGATAGTTGTCTTGCAGAAGGGTGACAGCCTGATTGGCAGCTTTGTTCACATCCTTCTTGGTCGGGCCGGGAGCATTCTTGAGGTCGGTGATCTGAACCATAGCACTGGGTCCCTCGGGAGTGAATTTCAGAAGCTGGATGCCCTTCTCGAGGACCTGAACTCTCCATCTCAAGAATGTGGCGAGCTTGGCCGAATCTCCGAAGGTCCTCTGGTAGAGCTCCTTATCCTGGAAAGCTCCGTATACATTGTAGCATACTGGGTGGCCATCTCTGGTCTCGCCGTGCATGTATGCCACTCCATCGAGCTCGGGTGCGAACTCCTCGTTGAGAAGGTTGTCAGCGAAGAAGGTCTTCCTCCAGATGATGGTCTTCTTCAACTGGTTGAACGCGTCCTTGACATTGAACTCACGTGCCCTCAAGAACTTGAGCAGAACGACATCCGTCCTCTTATCGCCCTTGGTGTAAAGCAGAGGTACACCCCACAAGTTCAGGTCTTCGGGTGGGGTCGAATCCTCCAACTCTTCTTCCACTTCGGCCTCGACAGTCCCCTCAACAACAACAGCAGCAGCTGCTGCTTCATCAGCCTGAGCGACCACTGCTTCGACGACATCGGCCACCGAAGTGACGACTGGAACCTCCTCAGCACTCTTCACGGACTCCTCGACAGCAACAGCAGCAGCAGCAGCCGGTGCTGCGACTGCGGGTGCAGCACTTTTGTCCTCGACCTTGGGTGCGCCTGCGACGGGTGCAGCAGTCTTCTCGACGGCCTTCTCTGGAACCACAGCTGCAGCTGTCTTCTCTGCGATTTTCTCGACGACTTTGGGAGCAGCGCTCTTCTCGACGAGTTTCTCTGAGACTGCAGGTGCAGCAGGTGCAGCAGCAGCAGCAGGAGCAGCAGCCTTCACCTCGAGTTTCTCTACGACGGCCTTGTCCACGACAACAGGTGCCTTCTCTTCGACCTTGGGCTCGACGGGAGCAACCTTCTCTGCCACCTTGACTGCAGCCACAGCTGGAGCTGGAGCTGGAGTGGGAGTGGGAGTGGAGACCTCCTTGGCCTTCTCTTCTACCACTGCTGGTGCAGGAGTAGTGGAAGATTCGCCAACTTCAATCGGTGCAGTCTCGGATTTGGTCTCGACTGCTGCCACTTCATCCTTGGGCTCTTCGGCGGGGGTAACGACAGGCTCGGGTGCCTTGGCAGATTCCGGCTCCTTGGGTGCCTTGACCAACTTCTTGACACTCGAGAATTCCCTGTCCTGGATGGCCTTCTGAATCCTGAGCTTGAATTCTTCCAACGCCTTCTTCTCGCTGTCCTTCAAATCTGATACCAAATTGGACTCTTCCTTCCACTCGGGAATGCTGGGTTCCACTGGAGTGGCCTCGGATTTATCCTGCTCTTGATCAGAGCTCGAGCCCGAGCACTCTGCTGCCTCCTCGACCTTGGATGCATCGTCTGCCACTACGACGAGCTTGGATTCTTCGACGGTCGCAGGGATGCTAGGCTCGACAGTGGTGGAGATGGGAGCCGAAGCTGGAGCTGGGGTGGCCTTCTCTTCCTTCTCGACAGCAGTGGGCTTCGCTGGCGCTGCAGCCGCCTGTGCGACAACAGCCTCGACGGTAGCTGGGACAGCGACAACTTCCTCGGTCTTGGGGACAGCCATTGCTCTTGCAGGGAGGGATAGGGAAGGATAGATTCAAACTTCCACCGATTCAGATGTCGATGAATGCTCGAGAAGTTGGATCAATCGACGGGATGTATGCAAAGCTTGTAGTGGAGGAAGATTCGGTATCGAGCAGCAAGCAGAGGGAGCTAGCAGAGGCAGCTGTAAGCAAGGTGAAGCTCGGAGACGAGCTATCACTTTCTCACTCACAGTCTCACTCTATCACTCGCTCGCTGACTGCTTTGATGGAATGACTCGGGTCGTCGACCATTTTGTAGTGCTTGGCCCAGCGACTGTTGCAGATCAAAATCTCCTGTTTCAGGCATTAAACAAATGCACCAGAAAGAAAGAAAGAAAGAAAGAAGGAGAAATTGAAACTGCCGACGGCTGCTTCTTCCTGATGCACGGGAGTGAGGTGGGGGCCCTCGATCGCCTACAGGTGCTATTGTCTAAAATCCAGCACGTTGGCGCCGAGGATGTGAGCAGAATTATTCAATGGCGCTGGGATCCAGGCGGAGGAGCGGTGGAACGAACGAGCGCAAACGAGAGGGTGTGGATCCTCACAGTGAATTGCACACAACTCGCAGTCGTCCAGTCATCACGATCCGCCTGCTCGATCGGAGGTCACTTTCTGTCGTGATGCTGATTCCGTGGGATGCAAAGGATGCAACAGCCTCAGACGGAAAATAGATTGGCTCCAGCTGTCCGTAAATTTCACTCACAGACAGCCGGCCAGCCCGACAGCAAAACGCAGAGGTGCGATCTCATCCGAGCTCCGAGCTCCCACCTCCTGCAGCTCGACGTGGTGCACAGCGTGCAGGAGGACGGAATTTGCATAGATCTGTCATTTTGAAGATCCGCGACCGACTGCGGTGAGGATCAGCAGCAAGGTCCGGCTGTGGAGGAGCCTGCCACATGGCGGACAGTGGAGGAGTCGAGGCATGTGCGCACACAGCTCATTGACTCCGAGGCCAGGTTGCCGAGCTGCATCTTCAGGATCTGGGGGATCAGTAACTGGAGCCGCCAGGAGTACAAGCCCCAACCGACGCTCATCGCGTTACCATTCTCGGAAATGGTCTACTGTCAGATGCTTTGCAGTGCCAGACAATGTGGGCGACGAAACTGTTCCGCACTCACTGCAGTTGGCCTCAAGAATGGAGGTCACGACGGCTCGGGTTGCTAGCCAGCCAGCCAGCTAGCTCTCGGGCCAGCGACCACCAGCCAGACAGAGCGCTCGAGCCAAACAGTTGCGCTCGTGAGATCGAACATTTGCCCCTTGAAAGCTTCGTGGGTCTAAAGCGTACTGATCAGAATCTCCAGATGCTCCAGCAGGTGCTGCTGCAGATGCATTCCCCCGAGCTCGGCTCGGCAATTCTTCCCACATTCGAATCTCTCAGCCCTGAGGCTCTTGTTGTGCCCGGCCTCCATCTCCAACTACAGGCAGACAACGCAAATCTGCAGTTCCCACTGCTGATTGATCCAACAGTGTACGTAGTGTGATCATGGTTTTCACTTCTGGTAGCTGATGAGAGCATACAGTGAGCCGATCTTCTGTACTTTCCACCCTCATGAACCTTGTCCCCTCGTGCCAGGGTTCGAACCAAAATGAAATTACTTTTGTCATCGAGCATATTGGGCCCCCGAATTGTCGCCCCTGGACTTGTTGCGGAGGTCGGACGTGTTGAGATATTTCTGCGGAAAAGCCCTTGGGATTCTTCTGGAGGGTACAAGAAGAGGGCGAAGAATGGAGCAGGTTGCGAGACATGCAAGCAGTTAGCGACTGATTTGCTTGCGTCACTTGAGATGGCCCGGGCCTTCGGTTTCGGTGCACGGCCGAATGATTGTCTGTCTGATGAGGACGGTGGTCGGCTGACACCAATTAACATCACATTCGTTTGAACCACAGATACGTCCTCGTGGGCTCATCATGTCCCCGTCTTTCTGACTGTCCTCGGATCGACCTGAAACTCAGACGATAGTGAGGAGAATTTCAGACTCAGAGGTGCGATCCGGGGTCGCTGAGAACGCAACTCCTTCAATCAATCGAGGTATACGTGAGAATCTGCTATTCTGATCTCCCTCGTGTCCAGACACTTTTCTAACTCATCAATGTCTCAGCACAACAAAAGCACGCGTCGATCGTATTTCGATGTACAGGCATCGAGCACTTGTCGATCGACAGGTTGATCGCCCCGAGCGTGTCCAGCCAGATCTGACGATCTGACGACTCCCCCTCCTCCTTCCAAGCGCAAGCTTCTTGTCTCGACAGTTAATGTAAAGTAGATCCGATGCATCTGAGTAGAAATTAGTCCAAAGCTTGAAAAATTCTGTGCAACTACTGTAACAGTTAAAGATTCTTGTTTGATGTAGTTTCGCTGTCTTACGTCGACACAGAAAACTGATGCTCTTTGGAATAAAATCTGTGAATAATAATTAAGGGATTCTATACAATATTGCTCTTTAGCTATCGATGATCCGTTCAGCTTCGCAATGGTCTTAACGCTTTTTAGCATTCTGATACGAGGAGTCCAGGGAAGGCCCATGGCGAGAAGATGCATATCGAGGGAACAAAAATAATTCCCATCATCCGTACCTCGTCAGGACATAAGACTCGTTCATCCTCGTCACAGCCAATGTCTGATGTGACTGTGTGTCTTGGACTCAATGTCCTGACATTCCTGACAGATGTTAACCATACGCTTCGGTTTGCTTGTCGTTATGCCACTCCTTGAATCTCGTCACTTCGGAATCTCATCCCTATTGGTGAGTACAAATGTTCTCACCCAAGCAGTAAATTAAGCGACAGTTCCTTTGCTCTTTCGCTCAGGCAGTTGGGACAATTCCAGAAAGGTTCGACAGTAAATTTTGAGTACTGTATGTCGGCAGCCATGTCTGATGTCTTGCAATAATGAAGGTCCACATGTTTGCTTTCAAGAGCTTCTCTGATAAACTGTTTGGTCCTTCATAGCTTGTTGAGTTCCTTGCAATGGCAATGGAGCCTTGATTATTCTCTAAAATTATTGTTGCACCGTTCTTGGCTATTTCCAATTACTCCCCGAGCTGCCTAAGCAAAGCAGCTTATTTCACTGCTTGGGAATGCGCATCTGTGCTCAGCTTTAGTTGAAGATAGAACCACTTCAGGCTGTTTCTTGCTTTGCCAGGTGATTGGGCTTCAAAAACCGCTCAATGACTTTCTAGTGTCTGCTTATCCTCCCTAATCTGAATTTAAGTATGCTACAAGTGTTGGAAAAGGTCTGCTTACCGCCTAATTTCAAACCAAGCTCACTTGTGCCCTTGTAATAACAAAAAATTCCTGTAACACCATTCTATGGCTGTTATCTTAGATCTGCCATAGAAAAGACTTCCCACAACACTTCTCTCTAAGAATTGTTCTTGTTTTTCGTCACTTTGAGGTTGCAATTATTTGTTCAGGCCATGCCCAGTCTCGATAAGCGTTGAGAGTGGCCTGCAATTGCTCTTCTTGACCTTCCCCAAAGTCTGTAGGATTCATCTCCATTGATTAAGCCGAAGAATGCGATTAGAGCGGTTTTTAATCACTTCTATTCCCAATAGGTAAAGACATTCTCCAAGATCAAACATCTCAACCTTTCTCTTGAGACTGTCTTTAGAGCACTTGTAGCATTTCTCGCTGTCCACGGCGATGATTAGAATTTTTACATACATCATAAAATAGAGTTTTTTATTCCCGAGAGTTTTAGAGTAGATGCAGAACATACTGAGTACATGTGAACAGGCGTTAAGCGGTTTAAAACTTGTATTGGTCTAGTTGCACAATCCAAGAGCTTGTTTCAAGCCCTAGATGCTTTTTTAGTTTGTATAGAAGATTTGTGTGCCCTGGTGATGAGGCTGTCTGGTCACTCCATACTAATTTATTCTTCAAATGAAACTATGTAGATTCGCAAGTTTAATATGTACATTTGTGACATAAACTACAATCAAAGTCTGATTTACTAACCGAACTCAAAAATGAATATCTATCAACATACGACAAATGTCAAAAATTCTACATAATTGAAAGACTAAAAAATCATCGATAATCATCCTTACTGAGACTGAAACCTTGCCAATGTATCGTAAACAGGGGCCTATCACTGAGTTATAACGATGCAGGTTCTACTGACTTGAGGTCTACGAACCATTCTTCATGTTTGACATATCTCGAGAGACTCCTGAATCAATCATCCAACACTAGGGATTTGAACTTCGCGTGTTGGTAGTTAAAAATATAGCTCTAGGGAGTTGACTAGAACTTCGATTGCTGATCCAAGCAAATCAAAGTTCATGTCCATTCCCTGAAGCTATATATTTTATATGATTTTCTTGGAGCAGCAATCCGCTTTGAATTGTCCTTCCTTCCAGCAATAAAAGCAAGCCTTCAAATTTCTTTTATTTCCCCTTTTTACTTGCCAACCGTTTCCTTGAGGCTTTCTAGCCCTCCCCTCCGTCGTGAGAGTCTTTCCTAGCATCTCAGACTGCACTCAGCCCTCAATTCTGCCAGTATCTTCATGCAAGAGGAATTCCAGTGAGGAGATTCATTTTCAATGAGTCCGCTCTGGACTCTAATGAGACAAAGAGATGTTCAAAGCTCACAAGACATTTGTGCTTCAATGGACTCCAATTGTTGAGCGACCATATTGCCTTCGTTGATGTAAGCTAGCATATGATCACTTTGTTTCATCTTTGAAGTTAGAATTTATCTTGATGTAGAGTTTGCTAGACCCTTCCTCTCATGAGCCTCACATAGCTCTGACCAGGCCTCCTTCTCAATTTTCACTGTTTGAACTTGCAAGAGTTAATCATCATTCAATGCGAGCACAATGAGAGCCAAATTCTCACCTCCCTCCTCTTCTCTTCTCTTCTCTCGTTTCCTTCTCATCCACAGATTTCTCGCCTCCAAAGCCCTCCACTATCTCCCACAGTCCCTTCTCTTTCAACAAAATGGTCATCTTGAGCCTCCAAAGGCACAAATTATCTCCCTTAAACTTCTCCACAGAAAATCTGGTGTCCGGTTAACCGTAGACTGTCCTTGGTCAGCCCTTAAGGGTGTGTTTGCAGCAGTTCTGCAGTAGGCTGACATGAAAAATCGGGTGAAGGTAGATTCCCAAACCAATGAGGAAGGAAAAACAGTAACGAGGTCTTGGCTTCGTGGGGCCCATAACCTGTTGAACCTACTCACCTTCGAATCTAATCACTCTCGCTAAACACCAGCTTCATCACTTGAGGCAAGAGAGGAAGTTAAAATGTATCTGCCTGAGGTATTACTCTGGGGGTGATCTCAGATAGTCAAGAGCATACGAAGTATAAGCTTCTATCCCTCCCATGTAAATAGATCGAGATCAGTATAACCAAGCCTATTAAACAGGTCAACTATAGGGGCACATGACCCTAATACTTTCTCCTATACATTCACTGACTAGTACCTGTACTACTTTAATACCACGATGCGCAATCCGTTCGATTATGTTCGATTCACATTGCAAGGTTTCTACTTACTATCGTCTCATCGATTCTAACTTCACGTGAGTTCCAAAAGTGGATGATGGAGCTCGTAGCTCGAAGAACAAGGAATTATTCGTCCAACGACTGCACGCGTTCCTAGTGCCTAGTCAAGTGCTGTACACTCGTGACCTCCATCGACCTGTGAGTTGTAAACCTCGGCCGAGCCTGAGAAGTCTCCAGCTTCACAGATTCTCATTTCATGATAACCGTCGACGGCACCATTTACTCAGCAATGGTTTTCATTCGCCCCTACGAGGGATTAAGACCCACTTTGACACAGGTTTCATCACTTGCTGACGAGCGAAGCTGGGGTCGGACGGAAGGACATACACATCATAAGCAGCTATGTTTCTAGATGGTTGGATAGATTGATCGATCAAAACTTGGAGAATAAGAAAGTGTAAAGCTTTTGAGTGATCGCGCGACGGGAGATACAAGTTACCAACTCCCGTGCTTGACATATTTATATGAGGAGAAATAACACACTCGCACATAAATGTCCACAGTTGCAGCCATGTGAACCTCGATGATTGCTAGCAAGGACCTGAGAGGGCACAGAAACCAGATCTCGACTTGGCTAGATAGACGGGAGAATTGTTCCCTTCTGCCAAACGTTTGGCATCAGATGCACCGGATTCAGTAGAAAATCGGTTACAATCGGATCTAAGGCTTATAGCTCTGTACCCCGAAAACCAATATTATGACTTTGGATACTGAATGTGCAGGGCTGAACATGCATCGAAATATTAACAATGGTCAATTGACACAAGAGGCCAAGAGGCCCACGCTTGCAGTGCTGTCAAGCTGAGGGAGGTCAAAGGATCACTAGAGGAGCCCACTCATTGAGCTTTACTCTTCTCATTTGCAGATCGCAGAATACAAAAAACGGCTCCTCGATGCATCCCACTTCCCCATCTATTGCAATGATGCCAAAACGAGTGTGCTAAATACATTCCGACATTTCCAGATGGGCCGGGTGGACATTGTCTATGTTGCGAGAAAAAGGCAGTTGATGAGATTCTGGAGCCGTGAAGGTGATGTACAGGACTGAGGTTCACTTTGGCGGAACCTTCTTCACAATTTCTCAGCTGAACCCATTTCCCAACTCGTCATGATGATGCTGAGCCAGTGTACTCGGATGTTTCACTGGGCAACGAAGCCAAAGTATCTCGATTCGGCACGAAGCTAGCAAAACGGCAGCAGCTCCAGTCAGGGACAAGGCTTCGCAAACATTGCTAGCAATCGAAGTATTGACTACTCTTGTGGCGAAAGAAACCTCCACCTCAGTGTAAACAGAACATCTAGACCAACAGAAGTTCAGGGTCACATTCAAGTCGTTACACAAGTGTAAGAGGGAACTGCGAGAGAAGCACAATTGTGGGATATCTCTGCGGCTCAGCTGGAGTCTAATGAGAAATATTTACCTGTATCATATAAAGCAATGGGTAAGAAATCGATGGTAGGCTATACAGGTGCCACAATGTGAGAGAAAAGTCCCGGGCAGGGCTGGAATTTATCGTCTTCAGAAACTCAGCATGTTTTGTCCTTCTAGGCTCGATTATCAGATGAAGCTTCTTGCCAGACGAGATAGCGAGTATAGTTTGAACAATAGGCCTCAAAAAGACGAAGCAATGCTTCCACGGCAGAAGCATATGCTGAGGATACGCGCGTAGAACGATATAGCGCCAAGGAGTTTAAAAGTAAAGTTTGTCGACAAAATCTTACGGAACTAGCATACTAACCAACAATGCTGTATGGTTTGCTCCGTAATTTCAAAAGCTTGTCCAGAGCTTGTTTCAAGCTAAGGAGAAACGGAGAAGAAAAAGTGTCCACAAAATAAATCCAAGCTAAAGTCTTCCGGATGTGTGGGAGTTACTGCTCCGTGGAGGGAAAGAGTAAAATTATCGTGACTAACAGGTTCAGATTTACAGATAAATACGAGTCAGAACTCCTATGCTCTACAAAGATGAAGGGCACTCTTCAATTCATCTATGATAGCGGATCCTATCGATGGACTGAAGGGTGTCATCAGGATGTTGTTTGACTGCGAACATTAAAGGATGATATTCAGCATACTGTCTACCTGATTTCTTTCGTGCTGGTACTTCCTTTAATATTCCCTGCATTCTTAGCACGGTCCAGCCAGGTCAAAGATCTACAGGCTAAAGTAGGCAATTCCTAAGGAGGAGGATTGAATGCAATATGAGAACATACCCAACATACAGCACGCTCCTGCCGACATTTAAAAACTGTCGCTAAAATCCTCCGATGAAAAAACTTGGTGGATCTCAGCTGTGAGCTCAGGAGAGTTTTCCGGAAGAGCAAGAAATCAGTTTCTGGACCCGACGTTACTGAGTGGTTACAGAACGTTGTTCAAAATCAACGCCCTGTCTATAATTAAGGTCGAGGACCAAGAGGATTTATATCTTCGATGTCATCTTCATCTTCAGGGATCTGAACAGCCTTTGGGCACCATTCTATTGCTCTGATGCGCAGATGATGAAGTATTCCTGACGATGTGCAAGAAAAAAACAGGCTACTTCGTAGATCAACACCCATAAGAGCTAGCAGAGCAGGACTGCAGGAGTATCGAAAGACAACTTGAGTTGAAAAAGTGTCGAATGAGTAGCATGAAGATGAGGCTATACAACACCAATCACATGGTTCATGTCAGCTGGATACACCACTTCAAACCAACGGCAAGACAACTGGAATAAGAAAAACACCTGTAGAGAAATACAACTGCACCAGTGGATAGTGGTCCAACCTGTTTTCGAAAATCTTCAAAACCTCAGCAGAAAAGGGCCAATGAGGGTATATACAGGAGTCAAAAATGCGACACTCTGCTGTGCCTAAGGGGAACGTCAAAGCTGAACTGGAGCTCGATAGGTATGCCGATTAGCCAGACCTTTGCCTGGCCTCGACTTTCGAATCGCTCATGAGCACTTTGATATTGAAAGTTGAATATGGCTAATTCGAAAGTGCTACCGAAGAGACGCAATGTTTTTTGGCGGACCATTGCCAAAATCCAGGTCAAAAAACTGCTGGTCAAACCAGCTGTGGAGGATTCAGGCGGACACACACATGAACCAATGCCTGAGTCTCACATGACGAAGCACTAAGCGCTGTAAGCAATCTTCTCACGCTTGAGAACCATCTCCGCCATGGGTCCCCAGACGCTCACAACGGAGACAGGGTGGTTCATCATCAGCCCAATGCTCCTCAGAAGCAAGGACATTCGAGTTGGCATAATCACCAATTCACCAGTCTTCTCCCATGGATCAGTCTCGAACATTTTATCCATAAACTGCTGTAGGTTCAAACCATCTGTGGTATTCCTTCCATCTTGATCGAAGCAGACAACCACCATCTTGCTAATGACAGTCGGGTCCGTATACTTGGACACGTATCCGTTAGCCATAACTATCTCTCGGATTCGTGCTTCGTCCTTCCGGTAAAGTGCGGCAATGAGCTTCACCATATCATGCCTCTGTTCACGTGTGAGACGTTTTACTTGACCGTAGTCAATCAGCCCGATCCGCTCGTCCGGGCACAATAGAAAATTGCCAGGGTGTGGATCAGCGTTGAAAAACCCATCCACCAAAAGTTGATGTCCGTGAACTCTTAGCAGAGTGTCCATTATTTTCGCAGAATTCAGGGGAATGAAAGAATGAAAATACGGTGCTCGAGGAAGGGACAGAAATCCCAACGTGAAAACCGAGAAAAGAGGTTGGGCGATTGTGTTGTAGAGCCAGACGGGATAATTAACAATCTCATCCCTAACATGGAGCGAGGTGCGGTACATTTCTAGTGTTGCCGCACTAGGCCCATTGTATGGAGGAGGAAGCCCTTCCTTTTGATACTTAGCCTTCGTGTCCCGTTGCATCTGCTCAAAATCGATGCCCTGCTTGGCGGCCCACACCTTTCCCATTTCCCTGATTCCGTCGATGAGCTTCGGACCTGGTATGAAGTCCATCACGAGAACCTCCTTGGTGCAATACTTCATGTAAGGTTTGGGCACCACGACTTCGCTGCTGAACTTCCTCATGTTCTGGCGCACTTTCTCCAGCTGATCGGCCTCTTTTCTATAATCGAATTCCGTCATAAATTGTTTCTCGATCTCGTCGAAAGCAATGACCTGCTCCGGAGCCATGACGGAGCAGAATAACCTCGCCGTTTTGAGATCACTCCGAAATAATGCTTCGATCCCGGGAGTTTGCACCTTGATGGCAACATCGGCTCCGTTTTCTTTCAACCTCGCGCGGAAAACTTGGCCGATGGAAGCAGTCCCAATAGGTTTCGCGGGATCAAAGCCCACGAGGATATCCTTCAAATCTCCCACTCCTAAAGATTGTTTCATGATAGCCATAATGGTGTCGCGATCGGTGTCGTGCGGCACCTGATCCTCCAGCGTGCGCAACTTCTCGCTGTACACATCGGGAAGCATGTCATTCCGACTGGCCAAGTACTGACCAACCTTGATGTAAAACCCTCGCAATTCCTGAAATGTCCGGAGCACATGATCCGCGTACTTGTGGTGCAGAACGTCGTACTCCGCATCGGCCTCGGGGCTGTTAGGCGCAGGCCCGAGGTACTTCTGCTTCACCTCGATGGCCCGGTAATGCACCACGACCGGACCCATGCCAGTCCAGAGCTTCAGGCTCCGCTGATCCGTGGCGGTGACATACGCGAGGCCGCCCCCGAGCCCCAATCCGGTCGAAACCAGAGCTACCTTCGCAAACCCTGTCAAAATTCGACCGAACCGCGCCATCGCTGGCTGCACCCTGCTGCAGTCTGTGGTGGCTGGGGAGAAGAGAGTGCATCGCCGACCCACTCAATTTCTATCTCCCGCCCGCCACCATCAACTCCAGGCTCTGCGAATGTTGCAGATCGATTCTTCGTCGAGCCCTCGTCGGCAATCAATCGCCAGCAGCAGCAGCAGACGACGACGACGACGGCCCCGACGTCAACGACCGTCTGCACGATCGATCATTCTTCAAGGGCGCATTTTACAGGCGACGACGACGACGACTGCATCTTCCTCGGCCCCTCGAGGCATCCCTTCCGCAACAGGCAACAGGCAACGTTGTTCGCGGCGATCGGACTGACGCCACTGGCGCATTTCCATGGTGCCCAGAGCACACACACATTGCGCGAACTGCGCCTTCGATCCCGTCCCCGCTGGTCGAAGGCGCATGATTGGAAGGCCCTCGTGCCAGGTGGCAGGCTCATGATGCATCCTTCGATTGCGCCGTCTCGGTCGATCAACCTCCTGATTGGTCTGTTTCGTCCGCCGTGGTTCCGGGCGCAGCACCACGTGGAAGGATATTCTACATCCACGATTCTGAACTGCGTGCAGGACGCGTGCGATTCGGTCGATGGTTGTCAACTGGCATCTTGTCTCTTCCTGCACTGCGAAGTCGGGGGCACCACAGAAGAGGATTGCAGAAAGTAAGGAGGACCCATCGAATAGTAATAGTGAACTTGTCCGGTCGCATTTCGGCGATGAAAATTATGTGTTCACATAGATTTCTATAGGCCAAAAATGATATATATAGTGTCATTGATCTAAAAAAATGCGATTGATCCGTAAAATTCTGATATGTTTTCATGTTAAAATTCATAAAATTTTAGTGTGTACAAATTTAAAAGATGGGGTATATTGTAAAAGTGAAACATTCAAATTTAAGACATAATAGAATATAATTTGTTTTTGTTTGTACAAATAATTGTTGGATTGAAACAAGTTGCATAAATTTAATGATAATATCATATTATATATACATAGAGACTTAATTAATCACAAATATATAGAGTTTTTTCAGAATAATATTATATTTGATTTATAGTAGATTATATATAGTTTTCAAGTTTTTTAAAACAATTAATGTGTAAGTTGAGAAAAATATGTCAATAATTCGTATACTTGTGAGATATATCTATTAATTCATTATAGCGTGAGATGACAAATTATTTCTTGAAATTAATACAAGAGAGAATATAATTATTTTAGACCTGTAATCATCTTTTAATTATTTGGAACCCAAAAGAAGAAAATTATTTATAGTGGCTAAATTGTCCAGCTAACCTTAAGTGGACTTTATACGAAAAAATTAGATATGAGTGTTTGTTACATTCATCACTCTGTTATAAATGTAATGAATAAATGTATATGATATTTTATTTCTTTTTACATGTTGAGAATATTTATAAGATAAAGATTAGAATGTAATCATCTTTATTTATTAAAACTAAATTATAAATCATTTAAAATGAAATTAAAACTGATATATAATGAATGATTTTTAGATGATTAATATATTCAATAGATAAAAAAATAATATGTTAGGTAATAACTAACATATTACTAATGACTTTAATGTTAATGACTCTGAATCATCATATATGATTATATATCATAATAAATAAAAATATAATGAATGATACTTTTCAATGTATCATAAATTTGGATTTGAATACAAATCAATTTATCAGTTATGAATTTAACTAAAAATTTACAATTTTCAATTAAATTTATTTTTTTAAAGATTTTCATAAAATTATGGTCTCTATTAGTCATTTATTATACATTATTGATTTTAATTGAAATTATTATCTTTTCAAGTGTTGACAAAAAACACTTTCACATCAATATATACATATACATATATATTACTAGATATATTAGTAACCAAATTTAGATCACAACTTCAATCTTATGAACTATGCTTGTCCTTAGATTTTTATAAAATATCAAGATATGGTGCAAGATTCATTTTCAGCATTGATGCACTTTTCATCTTACTTTGTAATTTTTCAAAATATATATTTTCTGTTATTCAAATAAATAATTTTGCATTGAAAATATGATTTTCATGATAAACCATAGTAGAAATTAACTTTTATAGTGACTTAAATACAAAAAGACACGCATTTTATCTTGTAATCTATAAATGAATTAAAAATTATTTTTAGTAAAAAATAGAGTGTAAATACAAATTCACAACATGGGTCTCATTTATTTCAAAATTTTAACATTGTGAAAATTGTGTATCAAAATTGTCTTTAGTTTATTTTTAATCATTGCAAATGCAATCCATAAATATTTACTTAATAAATTAGTCTTATAATTTATAAAATTATCAAGTAAAAAATAAAATATAACGCATCTCAAAATTATTAAACTAACCATTTTTCAAAGGTGTTTCAATTAGGGTAATCCACGTCATACCTTGCAACAGGAAATTGAATATTGAAATGCAATTTTACCAAAACTAAGATACAATTAACGGTTATGAAAGTAGTACGAGTTATAGTATGTACAGGGATGACAAAAACTAAATCTTTTCTTGAAGTCTAAGTCATACGTCCATAAATACCTTGAATTTTCATTCTTGCTGTTCAAAGATGGGTTGTGTCAACCAGCTCAACAAGATAGGTTGGATATTCCCAATACACCCAAGTCGTCAATAGATCTTGCATATCAAATGAACACCAAGAGTACATATCCTTCACATCACCTAATATGTCTCTCACATGACCTAGTAACGTTTGGCTAAAATGCACCACTTGGCGGACAAAATTCTGCTCTGTGTTGTGATATGATGAAACTTTCTCTCAATTCCTTGAGATCCCAGTTTGCGCAAGTAGACTCGCCGCGCTAATTAGTTAATAGAAAGTCATAAACCCTAACCATCTTGTCTAGATGCATTAATCACGATCGAGATATAGTGAACGGGTATGAGAGAAGTATGAACCATCGTATGTACATGTATGACAAAAACTAAATCTGTTTTTGAAGACCAAGTACTTCGTCCACCAATCTCTTGAATTTCTCCTTCTTGGTCTTTCAAGGTGGATTGTGTTAGCCAGCAAATTAACTTGGATCTCGCTGATACATTCAAACTGTCAATAGGTTGTGTAGATCAAATGATCATCTTGAGTACGAACCCTCCACATCATCCAATAATCTCTCACAATGCTTCCGTGCGGATCAAATGAAAACTTTGTGTATAAACCCTGCACATCATCCTGATAGTCTTTCACAATGGTCATGGAAATTTTTCTCAAAGAGATTTTGACAAATTTTCAAGAGTCTCTTAGAAGTTTGATACAATCTAAACTTTCGAGAAACTCTTGGAAGTTGCTCTTGAGATGAAATCAAGCACGATTTGGTTATCTTTGTCTGCGCAATTGGAGCAAATCAAATGAGTTGAGATGAAATATGTGTTTTTTTTTGTTATCTTTAACTCTTTTGGATTTGAGAATCCAAGTGTACATTCCAAACTTCGGAGATACTCTTAAAAATCTGCTCTATTTATGATATCAAGCATAACTTGGTAATCTTTGTCCGTGCAGTTAAAATGTATCAAGTGAGTTGAGATAGAGAATGTGTTTTTTGAATGAAACATGTGTGGTTGTTGAGATTATAAATACTCTTTGCTTGCTTTCAAATGCTAAAGTAGCAATTCAGTGATATGATTTGGAGAATCTAGTAGATGCATCACAAAACATGTGAACCTTCAGAGCATATCAAATATGCATCATATGCACATATCCTATATTTTGTATCCGTTCAAAAGATTTTTATCAAGTGAATTGAGATTGAGAGAATATGTATTTTGGATGAAGCATGTGTGGTTGTTCTAATTATAAATTCTCTTGCATGTTTTCAAATGCTAGAGTAGCAATTCAGTGATACGATTTGGAGAATTTAGTAATTGTGCCACAAAACATCTAAAACTTTGGAGCAGATCAAGCATGCATCATATGCACATTTCCTGAATCCGTTCAAAAGGTTTACATCAATTACAATATCTGATTCATGGATTTTTCAGGTAGAGAAAGTTGTTTCCTATCAACTCCAATGTCCAATTTCTCAGTGCTTCAGTTTGGATAAAAAGCATCACATTAGAATTTAGTAATAAAATAGAATACCTTAAATCCTAAACTCTTGTCCATATGCAAAAATCCACCGTTTAGGGTTTAGAGTCCCAACTTGAGTTATTGCTAACAAATAAATTATCATCTAGAATGTACATCCAAATGATATACACATAATTTTTTTGTCAAACCATAATATGAATTAAGGTCAATGCGTTGATGATGCAGAGTAGATGCTAGAATCAACAAGAGTTAATTCGAACCAACAACATACAATTTTTTTGAAGAAATTCATTAATAAGATATTTTTCTTTATATTTATTAAAAATTTCACACTGAATATTTTAAAATTCAAATGTATATCTTTCAATAATGATAATGATATTAATAATGATATTATTGATTTAAATCTTCAAAATTTGATATTGAAATCAAATTACAAGGATAATTAGAAAATCTTCAAAATTCAAAAAATATTTAAGCTACTTTGAAATATAAAAAATTGTTTGAAGAAAAATGAATGTCTTAGCCACTTATCGATGAGACTTCCCGGACCAAAACAACAAAGCCACTCTCCGCGTCACGAGGCTCATAGGGCAGTTGACTCCTTTGTGCGTGGCATAAAACCTATCGCGGAGTGCATTTGAGAGAAAATTTCGTGTATCAATACACAGAAAAATTATATTACTCATTTTTTTAACATAATATCATTCTTTTCATATATGTATTAAAATGGATTATATATTCGAATGTTCCAAATAGTAAAGATTTAATTTAATTATGATAAGATTTCATCTAAAACTGTTGAAACATAAATTTTCCAAAACACAACATTTTCTTATATGAGTTCATGTAATCTGATCTATACTAAAAAAAAATTGTATGTGTTTCGGATCCCCACAAAAATTCGTTTAGAAAAGTAACATTTGAAATATATATATATATATAGAACAAGGATTCAAGGATACTTACTTTTAAACCATAGATAATTTGAATATATAAAGTATGACTAATAAGATAAAAAAAGATAATGTAAATTTGAAGACATTTGAATTTAGAAAAACAAAGAATTATAAAACTACTATTTTGAGCGCAAATATCATCGTCAATATTTTCTAGATTGTATAAAAAATATTTCTGGATATATTTGATAACTACCACGAATACATCATAAGTGATAAGATATACATCAACTTCAAAAAATGGTCTTGTAAAAAATATTTAGCCGGTAGAATAAGAAGCTATGTAATCACCACAACCGCATCCGAAGTAGTGAA